CGTCACTGTCTTCTCCGACGAGAAGCTGTTCACTGTGGAGGCGGCATTCAATCCACAAAATCATCGAGTACTTGCCCAGACATCCCAGCAAGCTTCTGAGAAAGGCAGAACAATTCATCGAGCCTCACATCCTGCCAGTGTGATGGTTTTCGGTGCCATCTGCTCAACCGGGAAGTGCCCCCTGGTTTTCGTGGATCAGGGGGTGAAAGTGAACAAAGAAGTCTACGTTCGGGACATTTTGGAGAAGCATGTGATGCCCTGGACCCAAACGCATTTCGGTGGGCAGAAATGGGTCTTTCAACAGGACGGAGCACCCGCGCACACTGCCAAAACTACTCAGGAGTGGTGCCAGACCCATTTTCCCGACTTCATCAAGTCATCTGAATGGCCTGCTTGCTCCCCAGACCTGAACCCGCTTGACTTCTCCGTGTGGGGAGTCTTGCAGGAGAAGGTCAACGCAAAACCCCACTCAAGTGTCGAGGCTCTGAAGAAGACATTACTGGCGGAATGGGACAATCATTCCATCGAATACCTGCGTACCACCGTCGCCTCCTACCCGAAGCGTCTCCGTGAAGTCATAGCGGCGAAAGGAGGCCGAATCGAAAAGAGTTACTAGATAATTATTTGTTATACTATAGATAAAAAATATTTCAAGTCTCGTTTGATTTGGACTTTTAGTTTCAGAAATATACGTTTTCAAAGTTGTGCGGGAACTTAAATGACACCCTGTAGGCGTGAGATTCGGCGTGGAAACTCTGCTTTCAGTTTTTGCCATTACTGCATTTTAAAGGCGCATTAAATTTTATCCCGAATGACCCAGACAAGGTAATTTTAAATGTATTAATATATGCCTTAAATTTCTAGTCAAATATGGATAAGTGGGCGTGGCCTATTTCAAAAATTCATTCTCTTCATTTCTGAAGTTTCGAAATCGGTTAGAAGCAAGCATAATTTTATTGGTAATATTCAAACTTCAAAACATGAGCACCCTTTTTTGAGGGCGGTAATTCAAATTTTGAACAATGCAAATTCTGCTTCCAATACTTTAGTACTGGTTTTTGTAGCAAAAGCCCCCTAGCTTCCTGTTAATCTTAAAAAAACGAACATTTCAAAGAATCGAAACTCGTTGGCATTCATACTAATTTATTCACTTTATACTAAAAAAACCTAATTAGGAAAATTCGCGTTTCTTCTATTTATTCATTCATAGAATTTGCTGAAATTTGCACCAAACGGAACACACCAAAAGCTTCCGAAGAACAATCGGCCCTAATTCGGCATTCATTCGTCATCCAGATTCATTTTTTTTATGTCGCAAGAAAAAGGAAGATACAATTAATTGATACAAGAAGCTTCTTGTTTGTTCCTTCTCAATTTTCAATTTTCCATTCGAATAATTTCTCTAGTTTGATTTCCAAGATTCCCATCACATTTCCGTTCTATTCGAGCTTTTGCTTCAATCAGTCTTCCAACATTGCGGAGCAACCAGTTTCATTATCCAATTATGGTCTTCACAAACAAGCACGATTATTAAATTAGGTGGTCGGCAATCCTTTTAAACAAACCAAACGGCGCGATTATAATATGGGCTCATCGATTTGGGGACCATTCAAATCACAAACTCAAAACTCGATTTCGGCGAAATGACAATTTGGCGTCATGCCAAGGACCCTTGAAAATTGTTTTCGGACGATTTTTCGCCTCGTTTGATTACGAATGAAAGGGCACGTAATTTCGAATGCCAAACTCGCGTCGATTGTTTACGTGACGCCTTCGTTTCGAGACCTCGCGGAATTTCAAAAGCTCATAGTTGCCCAAATTCATCGCAAGAACAATGTTTGCCAAATTCTATTTCCTCTTTTTGGGAAACGTCATTTTTTTTTGAAATCAACAGGTCAGAGCAACTAGTGTACATTAGTGTTATGTGGTCTAACCAACTGACAAATTCATTTGCCGTTGTGGGAATCTGAAATGTCGCTTTATCAAATCCTCATTAGTCAGCGACTGGCGATAGATAAATTTGTTATTTTTTTAGAAACTTATAAATTTAAAATGAGCCTGTAAAATAATAAAAGTAAAAAAATGGTGCCCTGAGTTCTTGTAATCTCGATATCATTCATTCACAGTACCTGGAGACAGCAATACGAAATAAAGGGACACCAAGATTCACTCGGGGGATACCATGTGGCAAAAAGGGGTTCTAATATATTATTTCTATAATATTGCTGATTAAATTTACAGCCATTTGAAAAACCCACTGAAATTGTCAATCCAGCAGCTTTTCTTGTATTTCGACATTTCGTTGGAATTTTTATTCTTTGAACCTGAACCTATTTTCGATCATAAAATGTATACAATTGAACCATGACTTCATAATTAAACAAGATGGAGCCCGACGAACTGCAACAATTAAAAAAAAAGATGAGGCACACGTCAAGTAATTGAGGATAATAATCAGCTGTAGTCCAGTTTTGAGTTGGCCGCAAAACTGGCAGACCTAGAATCTTCATTACTAGAAGCTACAACTCCTTAAGGACCACTTCAATTTAGGTGTTTTATCTTTTCCATTTTCTGGAAACTTGCCAGAAGTCGAGTCGTAAAAATTTCGCTGTTTTTTTTTTCCATTTTTTTCTAGTTAAGTCACGAAACACTTCCGGCCTCGCTTTTCATACGTACAATTGTATTTTTACTTTGGCAAATTGCCCAAAATGGGGAGATCCTTTGGGTTGGTTAAAATTCTCCGAAAGACCACCAACAGTCGGCAGATGGTTTTCAAATGGTCCGTGAATTGTTTTTTTTGTTCATAATAAGAACCTAAATGAATGAAAACCAAAGTGTCTCAAGTGCAATCAAATTGAAGAAACCTTTTATTTCTTGGTGTCTTGTGCCCCACACCCAAAAACTTTCAATTTCCTCGAAAAAAAATTTCGTTGTTGATGTTGATTTTCGAGTTCCAAACCAAACAGCTTCTTCGATTTCTTCCCATACCTGGCCTCGTTTCTGCACCATTGACAACAGGGCTCCGAAAAAGAAATTTTGCTCAAGCTTATTTACGCGCTTTTGTGGTTGTATGCATACATGCTATAGTAAAAGTTCAAGTCATAAATAAGTGCACAACAACGAGAAACTAAATATAAACGAATTTGCCTCTTCGCTACGGGAGCCCCGTTAAATCTACATACCTCTCACACACAAGTTGACCATCGAATAATTGTTTCCATCCGTTTTAATTATGGTCCTTTTAATACATATATAAATTCCATGAATATGTATTTTATTGAAAAATTATTCATATTCATTCAAAAAAAAAAAATTAAATTTTATTCATAATTCACAACAATTGTTAGCCAACTCGTTTTTTTTTTTTGTCAAACAAAGCGTAAAAAATTGAAATCGTTCCAAAATCACGAAAAAGCCATTCGTATTAGAGACCGAATCAAAATAAAAATTTCAAATTTATTGAAGAGCTATAAAATTTTAGATTTTGCTCGATAAACTATTATTATAAAAAAATTTGGGGTGTTTTGAGAAATTTTTTATTGATGTTTCTCAATTTTCCGCATTTCCGTCGGCTCGCCTGGAAGCCCTATGCTCCATGGTATGCGCCTTTAATTTATTATTTTTTTAGGCTGTAATCATTTATGGATATATAAAAAAAAATGAGAATTTCCAATTTTCCGAAGTCAACCTCAAAACATTTGAGATCTTCGGTTGCCTAGCAGTAATCCGATCAATGCAGCAAATGCGCTCCACTGCAATTTCGAATTTGAAGTTCTTTAAAAATTTCCGCAAATTTTTGCACTCGTGCACTTTTTATTTATTTTGGCAGTTTGCGAAAATTCGATAAAACATGTTTTGAGTAATATGCAAAAATCGCTTGAAGCTTCTCTGCACGATAATGAATTTATGCACTGAAACATGACGGGAAAGACATGTCTAATTTTGGAAGAACGACCCGCTAAAACTGAAAAGCTGTAATTTTAAAATGTTCCGTTTGAATTCGAACTGTCAGAAAGTAATATTATGAGTTCATAAAATTTGATAATTTTCGAGAAACCTTCTCAGGCAAATCAAATAAAATATTTTGAGAATCAAATATTCAGTGATAAACTCTAAAATATTTTGAGAAATTCTAAAGTCTATTGATACTTTCTAAAACTTATTGAGAATCAATAAATTTTAAAAATTTGGAATTTGTAAATTAAATCTACGACCACTGCCATTGTTTCTTTGTCAATTTTCCGCGGTCGCCTATAATACCAAATTGCGTTATGGCATCAGTAAACAATTAGCATGAAATTGTCCGCAGATGTATTTGCCTATTTTTAAAATCGATAAGTTACTGTCATTACTAAAAAAAAATAGAATAATTTGAAAAGTTCTGAATTGTGCTGATCCATTGAATTGGTTTTGTAAAATGAAATAGACTCGGCCTATTTTTTTTATATAAAAAGTGTTTTTAATACAATTCTATAGTCGGGATCAGGCGATAAATGTATGAAGTGTAGATTTACGAGCATGCGCCTTGTAACCAACTATTTAAAATTTTCGAAACATTAGAAATGTAATGAAATGTTGCAAAATAATTATTGGATCAACGTGAAAATTTTACAATAATGCCTAAAAATGAAAATACCCCCATTATATAGACGACAAGCGTTTTCAGACTATTCTAGCTAGATTCTGTTCGGGACCCAGCGCGGCAATTCAAATGATAAATGAAAACTCATCCAAATTTTTGTCCGATGGTATTGATCGCATTTCAATTCGATATTCTTCTTTGTGTTTGATTTGCCGCCAAAATAATGCATTTATTCGTTGTCGCTTCGCTTTGCGAGTCGTCTTCGTCGGCTTCTCGTCGCCTCCAAGCCCCGCCCTCACATTTTCGGTTGGGTTGTTCCCCCCCCCGCTCTGTCTCTCTCTCGAATAAACTTTTGCGACAATCATATTTTTTTTCTAGCGTTTAGCATTTTCAAATTTGTTTTCTCGAAATTCAGATCATGTCGAATTTTTCGCACATTTGCCTAACCGAGCCCCAACTTCAAATGTCGGGAACTCGCCTCGAATACAATCTGCAAAGGTGTCGGCATTTTTCGAATTCGTTTCAAGACCTTATTGCTTTCAAGGTACTTCTATCCAGCGCTCGCCATATTCGGAATATTGGGAAATGTGCTCAATTTGACGGTGTTGCTCAACAAAAGTATGCGTAGCAGGTTTGTTTAGTTTTGTCAAAGCCTCTCAAGTATTCAATTTAAACAAAAACACGGATTATGGGCGGCCGGCAAACTTTCGCCCAGGCGGTGCGCAGGAAAAAGACAACAATTTAAAATTTATGGTACTTTCGCCATTGTTTGGCGGTGAAGAGGGCGGATTTGATGGGCTGAATTAAGATTGAGCCGAAGTTGACAAGGGTTGCATAAATGAGTATCCACTGTTTGCAGAATGTCGGGTTCAAAAATCGAGGTCAAAGTTAAAATCATGACTAACCAAAAATGTGTCGAAATTTGTTGAAGCGAAAAATTCGCTTTCTAGGTAAATGAGCATTTTGGTGAAAAATGTTGAATGCGAAGTTTTCTCGATTGAACCTCGAACATTACATGAAATTCAAGCTTTAAAGGCGCATAGACGACATTTCAAGCTTTGATCTGTTTTTAGCCATTTCTCATTTCCGGTGTCGAGAAAAAAAAAATCGCAATTCCGTGTTCGGTTGTTCCTCGTTTAAGCCCGAGCAATTCCTCATTTCTTGTTGCAGTGGCGTTTCAAAAAAATAATTTATATTTCCGCGCGCGCCCGCAAGCCTCTTTATTTTGGGGCGTCGTCCGCATAATCAAACACGAACCTGCACAATTTTGTCGCCCCAAATGGAATTGCACGCTTCGTTTACGGTACAGTGATCAATTATGAATGAACCGCGCAGCATCCCCCCAAAATTGTATTTTTGAAAAATTTCTCAAATTGCCAATGAGGACGCGAAAATGCGTTTTTTTTTTCGCGAGAGTTCTTCGAAACCGAGCACCGTCAATAGTTTATGGAGCTCGTCGTTGAACATCTGGGAACGAATCGAATTAACGCCCGTCGGCGAGAATCATTTGTAATGGAAAAACTAACTAGAGGCTTGTAAAGAATTCCGCGTGACGCGAAACGACGTTATTTTTCATGTGTGATAGCCGCAAAAATGTTTTTTTTTAATGTTCTGGGAATGAAAAATATGCGAAAATGTGGGCCAAAATCTGAATTCGTGACGTGATATCCCATATGATTTTGTGTGCGCGCCTTTAAACGCGTTACTGTACCAAAATTTCGTAGTAGTCTTTTTAACGATAATAAATACTTTTTCGTCAAGAAAATCTAATATTCTCATATTCAATTGTTAAGTTTAACAACTTATAGTCCAGACTTTCATGTTCCAATCTGAAATATTTCAAAAACTCGTATAATCTTCAAAATATTCGATATTTTCAGAGCAAACTCATTTCTCGCGGTTCTCGCATTCTCCGACATTATCTTCTTATTTCTATTATTCCCAAATATTCTTGCAAATTATTCAATATTCACATTCAATTACTATTTCCGATGGTTCTACTTGCATTCAAAGGTGAGCGAAATTACTATTTTTTGGCTCTCAAGACGATATTCTACAAAATTTCAAGGTGCACTTAATATCGCTGGCGAATTGGTGCTCATCGGTAGCGCATTGGTAGCATTTTCAAGATAATTCTTTTTTTTAATTGTGATTGAGTTTTTAGGTGCGTCATCGCTGTGTGCGCTGATCGACTCTTCGGCATCCGAAATCCGCTGTACGCAAGAGCCACGTGGCGATGGTAGTCTATGAATTGCGAAAATTATGAAAATTCGTTTTTACAGGTGGAAACTTCCACTGGTAACCGCAATAATCGTCTTCTTTTGCGGTATTCTGACCTTCTACCAGCATTTCGAATACTTTTGCCTGGTTCGCGAGTATTGCAGTGCAACACAGTTGTACTCAAGGTGTCTTCCAGTGAACGCCGAGTTAGCATTTTTTTCTTTTATTTCAATTTTTTAATAATATATTGCCGTTTTCCAAATTTAAATTCTGACAAGAGTGAAAAAAACATTATATTTTGGTGGAAAAAATATGTCGACGTCAATTTGCGAAAATCGAAACCCCATTATACAGTGCTCCACATAATTATACGGTCAACAACAAAAATAACAAAACCGGAGTTGCTACATGGGAATACAATTTTGTTTTGGTAGCAAAAGGAATATCCCGAACCATCCAGTTTGGGTCCTGAAGCGAATACGAAATTAACATGACCAACGAATTTTTTTCCATTTTTTTCAAAAAAGTGCGAAAAAAAAAATCCACATAATTATACGGTCACTTTTATTTTTTGACCTTTTTTCAATTTTTTTTTCAATTTTCAAGTACTCGAAAATTTTTTAAATAAACGTTTATTGTTTTCTAGGTATGAGTAGAGGAAAAAAGCTCACAGAGTATGAAAAAGGTCAAATTGACGCTAAATTAGCCCAAGGGCTCTCTCATCGTCAAATTTCGAGAGATATGGGCCGTTCGCAAGACGTAATTTCTCGATATGCGGCCAATCCAGCAGAATATGGCACGAAAAAGTCTACTGGCCGCCCATCTCTCCTTTCGAACCGAGAAAAGCGTAGAATTCTACGCAGAGCATCAAACTCAGTCATCTCCTGTTCAAAAATCAGAAGCGAACTCAAACTTCCCGTCTCCAATGAGACCGTCCGACGGGTTTTAAGCAAGAGCATGTTTATTAAAAACAGGAAAATGAGGAAAGGACCAATGCTGACCCGAATCCACAGAGAAAATCGATTGCAATTCGCCAAAAAGAATCAGCATACTGATTGGACTCAGGTTAGGATTGCAGCTGCACTCTTTAAATTTGGTTTCATATGTCAGGTTATTTTTTCCGATGAAAAAAAGTTTAACTGCGATGGACCAGATGGATTCCGCAATTACTGGCACGATCTTCGTAAACAGAAACTGCGTTATTCCCGCCGAAACTTTAAAGGAGGAGGTGTAATGGTTTGGGCCGCAATCAGTTCACACGGTCGCATCAAATTATGCTTTGTTTCGAAAAAAATGAGTGGCTCCGACTACAGATATACAGGGTGTCATTTAAGTTCCCGCACAAAAGTTTGACGCCATGAAGAGCTTGGCTGATGCACTTTTCGTGCACCAATACAACTTATTTTTGTTAAATAAGGTATATTTTACTTACTTTCCAAGTTTCACCTCATTCGGATGTGTTTCCGAGAAATGACGAAGGCTAACATCCATCGCGCTTCCATTATCGAACTTCATAAGCAAAATGTGAGCCCGAGAGACATCATTCAACGGGTCGGTGTGCCTCGTAGAACGGTTTACGACACCATCAAACGTTTCAAGGAGCTAAATACGACCAGTGACCTTCCCAGACAAGGAAGACTCGTCTCAGTAACCACTCTTCAGAAGATCAACGCCGTCAAATCGAGGATCAGGCGAAACCCCCACAGGAGCATGAGAAAGATGGCGTCAGACATGGGAATGAGCATCTTCGCTATGGAACAAATCGTCAAAACGAAGCTTGTACTGACTCCATATCGTGTCCAAAAAGCGGCAATTCTATCGGCCGTCAACAAGCAGAGACGCGTCGAAAAAGCAAAACGACTTCTTGCTCGCACGCGGTCTGGAGAACACCTCGTCACTGTCTTCTCCGACGAGAAGCTGTTCACTGTGGAGACGGCATTCTACTCACAAAATCATTGAGTACTTGCCCAGACATCCCAGCAAGCTTCTGAGAAAGGAAGAACAATTCATCCAGCCTCACATCCTGCCAGTGTGATGGTTTTCGGTGCCATCTGCTCAACAGGGAAGTGCCCCCTGGTTTTCGTGGATCAGGGGGGTGAAAGTGAACAAAGAAGTCTACGTTCGGGACATTTTGGAGAAGCATGTGATGCCCTGGACCCAAACGCATTTCGGTAGGCAAAAATGGGTCTTTCAGCGGGACGGAGCACTCGCCCACACTGCCAAAACTACTGAGGAGTGGTGTCAGACCCATTTTCCCGACTTCATCAAGTCATCCGAATAGCCTGATTGCTCCCCAGACCTGAACCCGCTTGACTTTTCCGTGATGGGGTCTTGCAGGAGAAGGTCAACGCAAAACCCCACTAAAATGTAGAGACTCTGAAGAAGACATTACTGGCGGAATGGGACAATCTTTCCATCGAATACCTGCGTACCACAGTCGAATCCTACCCAAAGCGTCTTCGTGAAGTCATAGCTGCGAAAGGAGGCCGAATCGAAAAGAGTTAATAGATAAATATTTGTTATACTATAGATAAAAAATATTTCGAGTCTCGTTTGATTTGGACTTTTAGTTTCAGAAATATACGTCTTCAAAGTTGTGCGGGAACTTAAATGACACCCTGTACACTGAGGCGTGGTTTGATGCCATTTTGGCACCGAAATCGCAACCGCCAGCTTATTTTTATGCAAGATGGAGCGCCGTGTCACTGTGCTCGTCGAACAATCAAATGGTTAAATGACAGAAAGATCCCAATTTTGAATTGGCCCGCTTGTTCTCCTGATTTGAACATAATCGAAAATGTGTGGGGATTTTATGACAATGTTTCGGACCTCAAAAAAGCGATTATCGCTTCATGGAAACTTGTTGATCAAACACTTCTTGATAATCTATATATATCAATGGATAACCGTATTTTTGATATAGTCAGATGCAATGGTGGTCCAGTTGATTATTAAGAATTGTTCTTTGTTTATTTTTACGTTTTTGAATCGTTTTGCATCATATCTCATTACTGACCGTATAATTATGTGGAAGAAAATTTTCAATTTTTTTGTTAATTTTATGATAAGATTATGTACAATTATTTTTGTAATTTTTTGTTATAAACAGATGAAATGCTGCTAAATGTGGATAATTATTCAATGGGAAGATTTCCCGAAACTTTCAAAATTTTCGAAATTTTGAGAAAAAATCAATTGACCGTATAATTATGTGGAGAACTGTATTACTTCTTGGGCAGACTTTTGTTGCGAAAATTGTTCGCAGATTGGATTCGCAATTAATCATTTTTTTCCAATTCCAGCAAGTGGTTCGGCGGCCGACCGAATCCATTCTCGATTCGATACCAAAAGTTGATTCAAGTCTGCAAGCTTCTTCATATCTTCCTGATGATCATTTTGCCGATTATTCTACTACTATTCCTCAATTTAACACTACTTTGCGCATTGCGTAAAAGACAAAAACATTTATCGATGGGCAAAGAATGTACAGACAGGTTATGGTGGAAAAATAATTATAAAAAATAATTATTCTTTTACCATTTTTAGGTGTCACAACGAGAGTTATATGCAGAAAACTGAGCACCGGGTGACTCTTACCGTAACCTTTATAGTCACGATGTTCACGCTCACCAACGGACCATCAGCATTGGTCCATCTTGTTATGTATTTCACCCATCGCGAACTCTATGACCTGACAATGATATCAAGGTAATCCACTTCAGTCTTATTCTCACAATAATCAACAATTGCTATAGTACACTGGTAATTTGCGGAAAAGCGTCAAACTTTATTTTATTCTGTCTCGGCTCAAAACACTTCAGATTGCGGCTTCTCAAGCTGACGCAAAAGAAGATCAATCGAAAAATCGGTGAGATTTCGCATTATTGCCATCATATTTGCTTCAAAGATTTCAAATCTTCGCCGCGGCTGCATGTTTCATTGGCTAGATCAAATTATACATATAAACGATATACGATACGAGCTTCGATGAATGCGCTTCTCTCTGGAGTCTTATTAGCATGTGCATATCAAATGATAGTTGACTATACTTATTGTGATATTTCATTGAGACGCGAGGTTGGTTTGAAATAAGGAATGGTTTGATTGCTTGGTGTGATATGCCCAAATTTGGAAAAAGACCCAACCCACTTTGTCTAATCATCATTGATGCCGTATTTTTATGTTTATATAAGTAATCATGTGAACAATGCAGTTTCCACCGAAATATTAAACTTCTGAAAATTTTTCGCAGATCGAATAACAATCCTCCAAAAAAATGTTGTCGACCTGTTCACAATAATCCGTCACTGGCGAGCCATGGATAAACGAAATGGTCAATTTTCGATTCGATTAGACACCATCATGTGCATGTGTGAATGCTTGCATGTCTGTCAACGTTTTCTTGTTGCTTATTCACCCACCATGTTAAATTGTTTCCTTTGTTCGATTTTTAAAGAATTGGTTTTCCAGAATCCATTGCCGGCTCATTTGTCGCCAACACCAAACTCAGCACTGTCTCGTCACCACGTCCATCATTCCAAAACAACGAATGCGTGCCTTCGATTTGCAAGCAAATGGTTAAGAGTCGGGCACTGAGTGCCACCGAGACCGCCTACAAGCCACTATTGCCCCCGAAACCGGCAAGAAGGTGCTCATGAGAAGCTGTTGGAAATTCGATGCCAAGCGGGTCCGCTCATATTGAGCTCCATCCAATTATTCCCAACGACATTCCTTGTAAACCCAACGGGTTCCCAACCAACAAACGATCTCTTGATGTACTATTTTGTCGGAGTCAAACGACTTGACGAAATTAAAAAAAAATTATTGGCTATGTCCCAATGCGTCTCGAGGCTGCGAGAAGTACGCGAGACTGCGTACATTGCATTATAGTGTACGCGCATTAAATATTCAGTCAACGATAAATTGAAATCTACACTGATTTCGCGAATTTGAAAGCTCCGCCTCCCTTCAGTCGTTTGACGCCGACAATATGACCGTATATTTATTAATAAAGAATACCAACTAATATAAAATGCTATTTCCACACAAGATGTGGTTCTGATTTCTGCATTTTTAAGAAATGTTTCTTCTGCTGTTATTGACTTTATTGTTTAGATTTAAACAATTTCCCAATTTTCAGATATTCACCCAAGAAAGCGCCACACTTTTATGGGGTACTGCAGAGAGAAAAAAAAAGAAAAAAACACAAGCTGACCGTTAGCGAGCGTTCGGTTTTACTGTCGGCGTCCGGCGACTGTTGTACGGGGGTAGATTTACGGGGATGCATCTTTCTCTTGGTCTCGCACGGGCTAACAGGTCATTTCAAATTTTTTGGACCGGTTCGATAATTTTTAGATCGAATCACCTTAGAAATTCCAAGAAATGCGAAACTCATCAAGAAAAATGAAGCAGTTCACGTGAAAACAGCAAAATAAGCGTTCACTCGTGGCGAGACCATTTCAAGGCGCATGCGCGTAAATCTACCCGCGTGCACGCATTTAATATTTAGTCAAGGATACAAATCTACACTGATTTCGCAAATTTGTTTGACACCGACAATAATACATATAATAAAAAAATAATTCCGTAGTTTCAAAAAACGAAGAAGCTGAAAAATTGTTTCATGGGGTTCTGAATAATATTATCATTGTACCCATAATAATTTTGCATTCCTTCATTGGAAACTTTTATTTTTTAATGAAATGAGTTTTTTCCCAACCATCTCTGTATTATGACCATATATTTATTAAAATGTATACTAGCAGCTGAAAAATATTATATCGAGGGTTGGGAAGAAGAGGGGATCGGGAGGAAGGCAAATTGTGTGGGTGTACCAGTTTTGGCGAAAAATATACAGACGGTAAAGCGGTGAAAAAAAGTAACAAACTCAACGCAACAAGTGAAATGTGTGATTTTTGGGGCCGATTTTTTCATCTCTTTTTTTCTTCTCAAATGACGTGGATTAGGTAGGCGTATTGGTTTCAAATAAAAATCCTTGATAGTTTAGAGATTGTTGCAATCTACGAATTGGTCTTTGTCGAACATTTTGCAGAATTTCCGAAGGTTCTTGCTGTTCCGTTTGTCGATTATGCTCATCGCTGACATGCTGAACACCAAAAAATAATATTAATTAAAAAGCTCAAAATTATTATTACCGAACAACGAAATTATTGCAACCCCTCTTGTCAACCTGCCACCTCCAATCCACGTCAATTTTGAGCGGTGCAATCGAGATGGTCCGAATCTTTCGTCGATCATAACCACCGATTTGAAGATTCAGAATATCCCCATTCTAGGAAACATTTTTTTTATTTATAAATGTTTGTCTGGATTACCTCAGCTCCAGGAAGCTGAAAATACGTGAACGCATTCTTCCAAGCCGGCACTTCAGTGGAATTCTGAGGTCGATCCGCGTAATCGACATTACTTCCACCGGTGCAATTTCTGCCGCTTTCATCGCAAGACGAAATGTGCCATCTGAAACCACTCGCATCGTCATGGCATTAATCTTGATGCTCACCGAATCGCCACCTTATCCCAGTGCCTGCACCTTAGCACATGGTCCCCTTTCCATTCATATGTCCGACTACCAATCAGCTCCCAATCATCAATCTGCAATTTTTTTTAGAACGTCTTAATTAATCAGGTATTTATTTTTTTGCCATGATCATGCACGTGATCGTTTTGATTTTTCTCTTTTCACCGATGTAATGGCAGCATGTTCTGCGTCTCTCCGCCAGTCGCCCTATTTCGCCCAACGATGTGTTGTGTAATAAGCAGAGCACAAGCTCAAGAAGAGTGTTTTGCCATTGGCATTCAACATTCGATCTTGTCTCTATGTACTTGTCTTTTTGATCAATCAATCGATTTTCAGCGAAAATGTCGGAATATCTTGGATGGCGCGATCGGCGACCGTCGCCCGGCTATGGGAGAAGTTCGGATTTCGACAGAGACATCATTCCGGGCGGTGTTCAAACCAAGAGCTATGAGAGCTACGTTCGCAACATCTTCAATCCAATGAATCGATTGAAGACTAAGGTATACTAGACTTATAAAATGCAATTATAAACTTTTAATTAACCAAATTTCAAAATGAAATAAAAATAAAGCGATTTGCTAAGCAAGCTAATTTAATACATTTTTCAGTTTTCTAATGAAGGCAATTTTTTGCCTAAAAATGGCAAGAAATATTCCAGTTCCAAAATATGCAGATTTAATCAATAATTTATGAAATATACTCTTCGTGACATTTTATTGCCAAAAATAGTCATTTTGATAAATTAATTATAATTGTGGTCCAAGGTTTAATCGTTTATTTAAGCGCCTTTAAATGTTTACAGTGATATCATGTTTTGATTTATTTATAATAATTATTAGCTAATTAACTTATTTAGGACAAGGAGCGACTTGCTCGCGATCATGGGCTCTCAGCGAGCAGCATGCTTAAAATGGAGCGCGAATTCGGCAAATCGGCTCTCGATGAGCGATTCGACGACGCGCACTATTTCTCAAAAATGCCTCTCGAAAATCTGTACGAGGAATTGGGACTCAAAAATCCATCGGTACCATCGGTTGATATTCGAAAGTCGATAAACTACCTACGTTTCAGTCAACCTCCTACCGCCATTTTCAAGTCTACGAGCCAAAACAATCATCCGAGTACTTTGCGACAACCTACGAAGCCGAAAGAGAACGACGACGTCGAAATTTGGAGAAGGAATTGGGAAATGCTCAAGATGATTCGGATAGTGAAGAGCCGAAGAAGAATCTTCATTCATCGCTCTCAAGCTATAGACCAGTGAGAAAACCATTCGAGGAAGCTTCTGCTAATAATTCGTTCATCTTTTTTTCGTTTAGCCCGTCGGCTGCTCTTCGTTCCGAACCCGCGACGAGGAGGAATACGCGAAAAACAACCGGATGACATTGATCGACTATAAGGAGTTTGATAGGTGATCATTTTCGAAAAACACTATTCCCCCATTAGCGGCGAGATTTACGATCGGTTTAATTGGAAACAATGATAAGAGAATTGTTTCAGTTCGCCGCTCTCGCCCTACCTCTACCAGAACCATCCATACGTGAGAAGACAGGATTCGAGAATTGTCGGTTCAAATTTTGTGCAGGTAGATTTAGGGTGGCACACTTGGGCAATAATTCAATTGAATTTGAACAACAAACTTTGAGACTGTCTTCGTCAGCATTGACAAAAAATAATAAGAGAAATTCAATTTCAAACATCTGCGGACATTATCCGGGTTATCTGTTTGCAGCTGCGTGAAATATAATAAAGTAGCAGTGGCGAAAATTCAAATAATGGTCCTACAGTGGGGGGCAGTTTTTTTTTTGACAACCATACTTTAAAGCAAATTTTACAGCTCACATCTCGTCCGAAAGACAAATTTCTAACGAAAATCGAGGAGACGTTGGCGATGGTCCGCGATATGCCTCGCTACTAAACGATTAGGCGCTTCTTCTTTTCCTTCTCCTTTCATTCATTACTATCAATTAAAAGCTTCCGGTGTGTTTTCCACATTATCCTCTCCATCTCTACTTTTTTTTCTTTGTAAATAAATAACTCACCTCTAGATGTGTTGAAGAAACGACACTGCCGACGAATGCAACAAGCAAGTACACATAATTTGCATAGTAAACCATTATCGCATATTGATTGGATTTGTGTTTATGTGTGTGTGTGTGGTTGTGATGTCTGAAGAAATAATCAAGAGTTTTTGAGGGGTGTGGAAGACGGAAAACGATTGAAAATCAATACGGTTTGTTTGCACAATGACAAGCGCGCGCCCTTCTTAGCCGCCGCCGCCGCCGCCGTCGCCACGCAGTAAATACTATATTTAAAAAATGTCATATAATATAACATGTATAGTTAAAGTACAAATAAGAAATATGAATGTATAAGGAATATGAATGTCGTGACAAGAAACTTAAATATGCGTGTCGGTCGGCGGGACCCAATTTATTTAAAAGCTTATTTTTTTTCTTGCCAAACGCACGCCTTTCTATCTTTTGGGACGGGGGTTTTTCAAAAAGTTAATTCGATTAGGAATTGATACTCTTGATTGGAATTGGGCGAAAGTCGACTCGCGGTGTTTTTTTTTGTCACGCTTCGCTAGCGGCGGGAAAATGATAGATAACCCATCCGACTATCTACCAATCAACAGCGAATATTTGACGGAAAATGAAAGCGGTTGCGTCGGCGCCGCAGCATCGCGACGATTAAGATGGATAATCTCGACCCAATTAACAACACCGGCATAATTTATTGCCAATCCGCATAATTAATGGTGTGTCGTGATGATACAACCGATTGAATAATTCAAGCAACGTTTTTGGGTGGACGCGCTCATGAGACCCATTTCTGATAGGCGTACTAACGTCCGACAAAATAAAACAGTTTTGGGAAACCGAGAGCGATTTTGGTTGGTTTGATGAGCGAAACACACGGAACCAAATCAAGACACCTGAGACCGCTTGGGGGAATCTTGAAGGCGTAGCAGGGACCCCCCCCCGCCAGCCCTTTAATACTACAATCGAGATATCTATGAAAAGTGCTAGAGCACAAAAAATTGAGCAAGTGAAATTGGGCGTGAGCGCATTCACAAGATAATTATCGAGGTCCGCAGAAGAAGGGAAAAAATGTGTTTCGGCTCATAATCGCATCACGAGGTGCAGGATCCGACAAGTTATTACGAACGGAAATTTGGAATCAATGAACCCGCGAATGGAAAAAAGACGAGAAAATATGGGGGAAAAAAAGGCGATGCTGAAAGCGAGTCACAAGCGGAATGACAAGAAGAAGACGAAGAAGAAGACGGAGAAAAAAGAAAGGGCGATGAACGTGAATACGAAGGAAAATGATTATTGAGAGTATTTATAACATATTCGCCGATGAGAAACGAAACAATGGGACACGGATTGTTTGAACATTGCCAAATAATCACAAATTATATAGCAGTTTGCCATTTATGGTGGCAAATATCAAATGAACGGTAATGTTGCCAAATTGCTGTTTTTCGATTTTAACAGCTCACGTTGTACTTTGGAGCAATGAAATAAATAGAGCGAGAAGGTGCATGCAACTTATTAGCGGAAATTTATGAGAATTTCGCACGGGAGCGACTTTATATGAGTCAAGGTAAAAGCAGATTTCTCAAAATCAAAATGTCTTCACGAGGCCGAGTAAGGTGATGGCCGCGGCCGTAAAAACAAACTCGGCCACTGCAATTTTCTTAAAATCCCGTAAAGTGGTTTTGCTTAAAAATGATTTTTTTAAATTGCATTCTTTAAAGAATTTATTAAAAATGTGATTTAAAAAATGAATTTAATAAGAATAAGCTGCAAATTATGGAATCTCAATTATACAGTTCTCGTCGCCCAACGATATTGCCAGTTATCAATTTTCTTAAAGTCATGAACTTGGAAATTAAGGATTGAAATCAAGATTTATGGTCGATTTCCGGCAAATATAGGAATACCATGCAATTCGGCAATTTTTTAGATTCTTATTTTTTCCACACTTGCCAAATCTTGATTGTTGACCAATATGAATAATGGACCAATTCATGCAATGAAAAAAAGTAATTTTTTAATGGCTGTTTTAATACGGAAAAATAGCACACAAAATGAAAATAGCCTTTAAAAATAAATAGCGGAGAATTACGATATATCGCGTCAATTTTTTGTAATTTTTGACGTGCGTGCATAGGGAATTCAAATGAAAAAAATTGATTTTTTTTTCATTGCATGAATAGGTCCATGATGCATAAATCAAACGTTAAGAATTTCTTTATTCGTGTTTAAAAAAAATCGACTATTGGATGGCAAAGATGAATTTAGCCACGTACTTAGACGGACATGATCGTGATATTCGACTGAAGAATACAATTTGTAATTCTCGAAACCGCAATTTATTAAATGCCTCGGGAGAAATTGATCTTTGAAGCATAACATTAGAATATTTAGAGCGAAACATTCATAACATGCAAATGACATTTAGGGCATTTCAATAACACCATTCCGGATCAATTATTGACAATGAAAGGCCAAATATATACGTATTTTTTTGAAAGAGAATTGGCAGCAGAGAATGTCAAAAAACTCGTCGGTATAATAAATGAAGAACGAAAAAAAAGAACGATTTATTATCCATATAGGCATATGTAATGTCGAAGAACCGTGAAAGGAAGCTAATGGAAAAAAAAGTCATTCGCATAATATTTCAGCTAATTATCAAGAGCCTAAAAACAAGAGAATGACTCATAAATACATATTTATACACATACATATAAATTATAGGTAATACTGACATTAGCGCATATATTAATCTCGATTCAGGTATGCAAATGAAGTGGGCGAAAATGTTTCTATGGTAAATGCAATTGAGACCTATTTGAATGAAGATTTTCATATGAAAAGTCTCAATTCAAGTTTTTTGCAAAAAAATACTACAATTTTTTTGGAAATATGTATGATAAGATGAGCTTCCTTGGATAGATTTTTTCACAATAGGGACCACCGAAAAACAATGGTTTTTTTGCTATTATTTGGAAAAAAAACGAATTTGTAAACAAAGGCATTGTCGTAACAAAAAAGATCATATAAGGTCCAGAAACTGCAAAAAAGTGAACCCTGAGAATTCAGGAAACCTCTTGAAGTAAATTGAATTTCTTGTAGCCCTTACAGAGAAAAAAAAACGAAAGAACAAAATCCAATTAATTGCAAAAAAGGTGCGAGTGAGGCAAGAGAACCTTTAATGACCGAGAAGGGGGAGCTTTAATTGAATCTACGTCGGATAATAAGCACGAGTGGGAGGCGAGAAATGAAAAAAAAAAAAATAACGCGGAAAATGAGTGAAGAAGAAATGGAGAAAAAAACGAGAAAACAAATCAGTGGAAAAGAAACAAAACGAGTAGAAGTATTTTTCTATTGTTTCGCTTGGTAATTACTAGCAAGCGAGCAGGAATTGTTCGCAATTTCAAATTGAGCACTTTATTTTGAAAGACGTGGATTTTCAAACATTTCAAGCAGATAATGGAAAAGAAAAAAGAGAACACGAGTTTAGTCGAAAATACTAGATTGTATCAAATTCGACTAGAAAATAAGATTGCGATTTAATGGAAAGTGCTGAAAATACTTGTTTTCGGGCTAGCAATCATTTTTTGCAAATCGAAAAATGTTGAAAACGAAATTTTATAGAATCATTTTCATGGAATCAATCAATTCGGCAATTAAAAAAAAAATGGTTCTTAAAGAAATTATAAAATATGGACAAACGACAGAATTGGATTACACATTTCCAAATTCATTGTCTAGGCAATTATAACAAAAAAAAAGTTTTCTAAAATTCAAATAAACGAGACAATTTATGCGAGTAATTAGAAGACTTCCAATAATTTTATTGGTGGCCGAAGTTGGCCTGGCCGGCGGTTTTTCGGCCATTCGCATAGTAGTTGAATAAAACAGTCGCCCATTTTATAATTAATGAGTTTTAATGGATTTATTAATGAATTGTGATTTTTTTATGTAAAAAATTATTAAATGTGGGTTTCTTTTTTCTTGTGCCTTGGAAAATTTTATAATTTTCAAAAAACAATTTTTTGCATGAATAAATCCATACACATGAATTCCATTAATTAGATTTTCAAAAATAAAATGCGACTCAAAAATGTTGCGCAAAAATCGATGAAAATGTTATTCGGATTAAAATGCATGCGAAAAAAAGTAGTAATGGATTATGAATTCTCTTTTCCCTTTCATCGAAGAAAAAAATGGCAATGAGATTAATAAATGAACATGGAAGAGGGTGGCGGGAATGAAGGAGAAAAAATAACAAAAACAACTGGGAAACAAAATATTGGGGCCCGAGAAGAATTGAAATGACGAATCGGCGATAATTGCAGCTTATTTGAGACGAGTGCCCCCCCCCCCTAGTCAAGTCAGAACTTCTTCCCCAAATTCCTTCTTGTTTCGTCGTTTTTGTCTCGAACCGAACAGAGAGCGAGAATCGGCGTCCTCGGGGTCAATTGAAAATTTAGAGTTTCATGCATAACAGAAAAAAATCGAGCACGCCACAAGTTGCGAAACTCAACACACACAAACACATACCCCCATCACTATTTTTTTTTGTTTGTTCTCGACTCGATTCCCCCTTTTTTTATTTTCTTTCCTTCAATTTGGGAAATGGGTGATGTTGAACTTTTTACAGAAAAAAATTTCAAATAGGAGAGCTTCAATGATTATATGGAACAGGATTACAAGGCGGGGCTAATTCTTGAGAACATTGACAAATTGGCCCCCATCAGGTTTCCAGTATAAAAAATTCAAATATCGCGCCAAAAAAAGAAACAAGGTAGTGGTAGATTTTCGGCGAAACTCATCAATTTCAGGATTGTGGGAAAATAAAATTTCAACTAGAGATGATTTTGTTTAAATTGTATTCAACAAAAATAATTTTAACTGAAAGATTTGCGTGCAAAAGTGAGTGCAATGTTCTCAATTTTTGAGAGCTTCTAGAGCTTAAACATAGCCCACTAATTTGTTGAAAGCTTGGCAAAACGCAGATCGGGTGGGGAAAAGCGAACAAACAATTTTTTGATTAAAATTGTGGCAATTGGGCCAATAGCAAAAATAGCCATAAAATTCCAGAGAAAAAAATTGGACTGAAATTGAAAGTTTCGAAGGATGAAAAAGTGGCGATTAAAACATGACGACGACGAAAGAAAATGGAGATGATGGCAGCAGGCATTCTGCTATAATAAGGAGAAACCATAATTGGCCGCATTACGTATGAGAGAATGAATTGGCGGTTTTATTCGAATCGAATCGCCTCGAAAACACATCAGATCGCATTAACTATTTGGACTTGATGAGCAACATTAAATCGTCAATCAGTTGACGCAAATTCGAATTGGTTCGACCGAATTTATCAAAATTGCAATTCGGACCAACGAGGCGGCTCCTCAAGGGGATTTCGCGCCAAAGTGTGATGGACTCGATTCAAGACGAGTTGTCGAAAGCGTATCCGTCTTTTTGTTTTGCATTTTTTTTCGGCTTGCCAGATATAGTGCAATGATACTGCCAAGATGGGCCGCTTTTTGCTTTCACTTTTGGGGGGAATTGAGCAGGAAGTCGGCAGGAAATTGATGGGTCTGAAAAGGGAAAAGTTGTTGATATAATGAGCATAATTAATAAAACAAGACTCTTGATGGTTTAACAATTTTAATCCTTTTTTTTTCAGATCAGAAATTTTCAGATTCGCACCTTGCTGAAAAAGCGACACAAAATTGAATTATTGGGATTCTTATTTAAAAATGCTTATATTAAATTAATGTTCAAGATTGATTACAATTTTCACTGATAATCAATTTACAAAATATCGTGTTAGGAAATTTCTTTCTTTAATATTTAATTCGAAAAGACGATTCAAAAAAATCTTGTCTTATCATGCAGTGTGAGCGCTCTTTCTAAAAATCAATCAAGCGCTTGAGCTCGATCGATTTCGGTATTGATCTTGGTCGAGCGTAAAGAGGTCAAAATTGCAATCTCTCACCATTTTGTTTTTATTCAAACTCAGAGCAATCTAATTTTTACCACATGTATCTACAGTTCATTATTCACCATTCCATCTAGTTTGCCAATTGGAATATGCATACTTATTGATCTTTATTGTCATCCCCAACAATGATTTCATTAATATCCTCAAAAAAAGTGACAAGATAGCTCCTTGATATTTATAATTACTTGAGTCGGATAGAACATTATATATGTCGAATAACATTCACTGAAATTAGAATAAACCTTTGTGTAAATGATGATGCAATTTTCTTTTCGATATCTTTTTGGTAAAAGCATGCACTTGTGAATCTATTTGGATAATCTGCTTCAACTTTATTTTTGTACTCCACAATCCTCCAGAAGAACGTTTTTTTTTTCAAGAGTTCCGTATTCACATTTCTTATTAATGAAGTGAGTAATTAATTTTTGTCAAGATTGCGTGTCTTCAGAAGACTAACAACAAAGGAGAGCTATCTAAAGAACTAGAGATATAGAATGAATCTGATGATGGTATACTGAAAAAGTAAGTTGAAAAGACCAAAGGATAAGATATATTTCAGCAGGAAATGTTGAGTGAGCAATCGAAATTCTGAGAAAAAAAGGACTGTGAAACGACTCGAAGAAGGGAAGAAAGCCTTAAAATCATTGGATTGTTGTTAATTTTTTGTTTCATTTTATTTTATCTTCTTGTTTTATTTTGAAAAGGAAAAACATTTTTTCAGTGAAGCAATACTAATTTCTTATTTGAAGCCCTGAAAAAGTTAATATCTCACTTGAAGTAACCATGTTTGGTGTATAGCTAGGTGAAACGAATTCACTTTCTAGAAAAAACTCTTATACAGATTGCGGAAAGAATTCAAAAAACCATATGCCGCGTCCAGGGTTTTCAAAGTCTACAGTACCATAGTTCTTATTAAATCGCTGAAAGATTTATGAAACTTCACCATATGGGCTTTAACCGTAACGATTTTGTTTTTTTTTAATTCAAATTTTTCGATTACGATGGCTATTTTTTATATTTTTTTTCCAAATTTGCATAGTACCATAATGTTGAAACAAGCTAGAAACATTCTATGATAAAAGGGTTATACCAAGATTATAATACAATAAAGTGTAAGCTAATTCCAAAAATCACGAAATCGCAAAAAAAAAACGACTGTCCTAATGCCTAATTGTGGACCATCACACATTTTCGAGGCGGTAATTCAAATTTGAATTCAAGCAGTAGGAATTCGGGAACTGTACTCTGGATAACCTGCGAATTGCGAATGTAATACATCATTATGTTTTATTGTATTTTGTCTTTAAAATAATTTGTTACACTTCCCAAATTTAAAGCATAAATATTTATAGAAACATTAAAAAAATTATTAAGTTACGTCGAAACACAGAAATAATTAACTTTGAATGCATTACGTAAAAATGGAATTGCCTTGTACTCAACACTTCCTCAAAATCACCAATCATTGTCGATTGCACTCAAGCGAGACGAACCCAAATCAAAACCCCATTTTTTGGTGTGGCCAAATTTAATTTCGCACTAAAATTCTTGTCAATCAGCACCGCGGTGTCTCTCCATTGAATTCTCGTTCTTTTCATCAGTAAACCAGCAAATAATTGGGTTCTTCGCTCTCTTTCTCCCATCGGTCGGTCGGTCGATCGCCGCCGACCCGTCCGTCCGTCATTCGTCAGTCGTATCATTCCAATTTGTTCAATCTTCAATTTTTACTTATCATTTCATTCACACAATCTAAATCTACGTTCACAATTATTCCCATTCATTCTGATTCGTCGACAATTTCAGGTAATTAAGTCATGTTGCGACATTTCCTGCTCACCGCACTACTAATCGCTCTAGTAGCATGTGTGCTCCGAAAGAAGAAACCATGCATCAATGGAACGCCTGAAGGTTTGATCTAGAACTTCAGTTTTATAGAAGAAAAACGTTTTCGACGAAGGTCAATCAAATCGTTTACTTCTAATTGGCAAAATCATGTACTTGCGGAAATTGATTTGTAGCCACTTGCAAACTTCGGTAAACTGCAGTTCGAAAAAAAAATTTTAAGAAAAAAAAAAAACATAAAAAATGGAATTTTGAAATGGACCTATTCATTTTATTTAAAAAAAAAATTCAAATTCTCAACGATTCGAAAAAAGAAAGCGCGGTTGGTTTTGAATTAAAAATAGGGATTCCACGAGAGTTCCCACAAACCTCAGCGAATTGTCTCAAAACTTTAAAACCCTACCAGTACGATACTCCAATTACACATCGCCTTCGATTTAGCATCTCGGGCTGAACCGTGAGCGGTTTTTGTTTCGATTATTTGAATTCTTCCCCTTGATTGTGCTAAAATGTTCCGCGGGTTATCCCAAACTAAAAAGTGTCTTCTGTTGGTCCCTATCGAATCACTGAGTCACCTATAATTTTCCCATGCATATCGGAAAATACAACAAATTAAAAAAATATATTGTAACCATCATCCACTCCTTTCAAAGGAACATGCAAAACGTTTCATTGGTCATGTTGAAATTTTGCTACTGTAATTTATTTATTTTTTATTTCGTGGTCATTTCTTTTTTTTTTTCAGCGGGTCACTTCACAATGACTGTTTTATACCTGTTTTCCTTTACAAACTTTTTTTTGAAAAGAAAAAAATTAGAATAACAGTAGCGAAATTGCAACGAGACCCGCGAAACTTTTCGAATGCAGAATATTCTAAAATAATGAATAATTGATGTTCACGCTTTTATTTTAGTCGTCACCTCATGAATATTATTCATTTTTCGCGACTTGCTGCTGATTATTTTTTTCAGAACGATATAATTCAACCCAAAAAGTCTTCCTTGTGACTATCATATTTGTAATTTCGTTGTGAATTTTAAAACAATTTTTTAATTTGTAACTTCCAATTACTATGAAAAGAATAACAAATCTAGGGGACAAATGCTTTTGTATCGAAGGCTGGACTGGAAACCTCTGTCATCGCAAAATGATGTGCGCCGGTTATGATCGTCTTCAGAATGGAAGGTACCTTTGAAATTTCTCATATTTTTACAAATTTCCATTTGAGTTGCATTGAATGCCTAGTTGGCTGGGCAGGACCTGACTGCGATATTATCAACTGTCACGGCAACGGAATGCCGAATTACGATCTGACCGAGTGCACATGCGAAGTTCCATATACCGGTTTGAACGGCCGAAAAGAATTGATTTAATTTTTTTCGTTCTCAGGAAAATATTGCCAAACCGCTGAAACTAAAGACATATACAGGTGGTATAACAATTTTACGTCAAGCATTGGACCAATTGGAATTATCACGATTATCCCATTGGCTTTGATCTACATCGGTATTACTTATTATCGGCGTCGCGCGACTACGGAAAATTGGTAAAATGTAAAAAAAAACCAATATCTGTAATCTTAGCGCAAAACTAAAAGTGTAAATTCACGGGCCTATGCATAAGGATAGGGTAAAAGCACACCGAGACCTCTTTTGATTTTTCGGCTTTTTGCTAATTTTCCGAAGTCGCGGGACGTCGACAACATTTGTTTTACAATTTCAATGTTTAAATTCAGTTTGTGAGCATTTTGCTAAAAAGAGGCAATTGAAAAGGGTCGAAGACCATCTGAACGGAGTTTATGTCACGAGCGGCAAAAAAAGTATCATTATTCATTTCTTCATAAGGCTCACGTTTTCATTAAGCTATTGATAAGGACGTGATCAAGGGTCTTCTCGAAGCTGAAGCTGAATCTGTGAAAAGTGTGAAAGTCGACGATAATAAAGGTTTGTCATCTATAATAAATTAATTTCACATGCGTAAACATTACAGCAGAGGAGAAACCGGAAGAATCAGCACTTCTTGCGGATATTAATAATTTATAGAGCAAAATAATATAGTAAAACTTAAGCAATTTTACTGGGAATAAAGAATAAAGAAAAATTCTTATAACTGATTAAGCTCCAAGTTGCTTGTAGAGAATTGGAACGTAGTCATCATATTTGGCTTGATAAAAGTTGCCAAACACCGGCTTTCCAAGGTTGTGCTTCTTGACAAACTCGGACGCCTTCCATCCTCCGCGCTTGTCGCCGGAGCGGTTCGTCAAATGTCCGTGCTCATTGTCGACGATCTTGCCGTTTTGTTTGTAGATCAAGTAAATGTAGCGGTGGAGTCCTTAGATGTTTCACAATCATAATCAAATCTCAAATCATTAAACTCTACCGGTGTCTGGTGGTGGTCCAGATCCAATGTACTCAGAGAGCACGTCTCCCTTGGAGATATCATTTCCTGGGATGTTCACGACAAGCCAATGATGCCACTCACGGTAGATGGGGTCTTTGCGCGACGGCGCATCGGGATCTTAAAATCACGTTAACAATTCCTCCACATTATATTGAATTTACCAGTCATTATCAAGGTGTAAAGAGCTCCGTCTTCAGCATCCCACTTGACTTCTGGTTGATCCTTGACCTGAGTTGGAGTCAACTCGTTTCCCAAATCAACTTCAACACCCGAGTTGAATTTGACGGTGCATTTCTTGGATGGTGGATCCGAGAAGAGCACGTCCTTGACGATCTCGTTCTTGACGAATGCCTCGTCGGTCATTGATGCAAAATGTCTGCAATATTGAGAATATATGGATTTAATTCAATTATACATTGTTAGAGAGTTGCGATACAATTATGGAATGAGAAAATAGACCTTTGGAACATTGTGGCAGTGGAAGCGGCGAAGGCAAATTGCGTTCGAGAAGCCAGGAAAAACGTTGGAAGAACCGTTCTGGTAATCAGACTGGTCATCCTATAATCGTGCGTCGTTGCTACAAGTAGTAGAGGAGCAATCCACATGACGAACATGGGATGTGTGACACGGGATAGTAATAAACATTAAACTCGTTAAATAGATAATGGGGTCAAGCGTATAATTTTTGATAATAAATCTAAATGTTTTTGTTTGATAAAGATACGAGGTCTAAAGTGTCAACAAAAGAATAAAACTTGGTATCAAAAAAGTATCAACAACAAAAAAAAATGAAAACATATTCTGGGTTAAAAATGTGATTAGCAACTACCACACAATGTTTTTTCTGAAAAATTGAGCTCAATTTTATAAAAGCTAATCAATTAAAATTATGTTAATTAAAACAAGAAAAACCTTCATGAAAAAACAGAAATTCAACGAATGAAACATTTTCGAACTAAACTTTTGAACATGAAAAAACACGTACGTAGTACACGGAGACGCACAATTGCACAGAAATTATTTTTGTCTTATTCAACATTTCCATAAAATCATTTACGAAATTATGCAGTAACCAAAACAGTTTTAGAAACGCAATTCGCAAAACAAAAACAGGAAATTTGACACTTTTGTTGTTTAATGTTAATCGAAGCAACTTCACGCTGGAATTACGAAAATTAAACTTTTGAAAGAAGCAAAGAAATGTGCCAATTAATAATCTATGGAGAACAAAATGGCAATCCGAATGTTCTCGAAGGACAACGCAATGAAAAAAGAACACATAGCGCGGTGCATAGTTCGCCTGTCTCTCTGCGCCTCGCAACGTTTGCATCTTTTTTTTTCAAATCGTAAACAAGTTGGTTGAAAACAAAAATGCCTTTATTGTATGTAAATAACACAGAAAATATGGTTTAGTATTTTGAAGAACGCGAAAAATCGCATAAAAAGTTTTGTTGGTCAAAAGGTGGAACCCATAGCAGTGTGAAGCTCTCAGAATTGGGACTAGTCTGAGACAAATTCATGTTTATATATATATTGAAACACCTGAATTACAGGTTTCTGTTTAATCAAATTTCGATGGGATGATTTTTGCGGTTCGAGTGAAGTGGTGAATGCCTGAAAGTATTCTTCGTAAACATTTGAAACTTCCGTTTTACCAATTTACCTTTCCTCATGGATTCGGCGGCAGTGGAAGAAGCAGATAATAAATATAGCGATGACTATAAGGGCAATAACAATGAGAAGCAAAGCAAGAACCATTCTGAACGTTTAGTTAAAGAAAAAAAAATGGTTTAATATGGAAAATTACCTGTAAATACCATCTACAGATTGCTGAATTCGGCGAGTGGTGTCATAATTGTCGTAAATTATTCCTGTGAAAAGTATAAATTTTAGCAGATTCAAAGAATTTTTGATAGATGGACTAAGGGTCGAGGGACCACCTAAAATCTTAATATTATCATAGGAACTAGATAGAAACGAAATTTCTATGTAATTTGGCTACGGAGAAAAGCGGGTGTAACAATATGGGGTCTACCACGCAATTTTTGTCTGAAAGTTATGCGCGAATTTTCAACAAAAAAAAGAGACCGCGTGTTTGCACCTAATGCATTTTATTCGACGACTATTTTTAAACGAGTCATTTTTACATGCTCCCAAAAATTCAAATTAAGAGAAAAAAATTCGAAAAACGGAAATAAACATAATTGCGGACTCATGCATTCTATTTGACGGCGATACACATACATACTATGATTTTAACCACCAGTTTTTCTCCGCAAAATCCATTTTGATAATTTAAAAAATGATCTTAGATGATGGATTTGTTCATTTTCACATTAAGCTTATTCATGCATTGAAAATCACACATGAACTGACCATCAGCGAAAATAATACCTAAAAGACCGTTGAGGATCGCCTTCTGCTCCTCGCGGATCGATGAACTGTAGCTATCCATTCGACTCATTTTCATGACATGCTATGGTGATGGTTTGTTCGCTACCCTGCAGAAAACGAAAATTGTCAATTATTGAAAATTCAAGTCAGCGGATATGAGTGAGGACTATAATTGGCAAAAAGCGACACTCGCCGTTTATTCTCGAAACTTCACACAAAAAGTGCACTCCGAAAATGGATTGATAAATCAAATTGAAGCTAGACATTTTGAATGACATTCGAGAAGCGCCAAAGGAAATGTCAAAAGTGTTGAGAACTTTCAGCGAAATGTCCGCAGACGATTTAGCCAATAATTGAATGGCAATACGATTGCCTAGAAACCGAGGCATTCTTCAATTTAATGAGGATTTCAAGAAAAAAACTGAAATATAAAGCTTTTAGAAGCTTGAAAATATAAAAACCATTGTTAATGAGGTGTTAACTGACATGAAAAAAGAAAGTAGGTGGCGAGTGAGGCGAAAATAAACAACATACCAAAAATGGAGAGAGAAGGATGTTGACACGATTTGCGTTAAATTGAATCAGTTGGCCCCATGAGCAGGTGACCATAGGTTTTTTATTCGAATACCAGTTATGCTAAAACTGAGAAATACTACTACTAGACTTTTTTTTTTCTCGAGGGGGTGTGTTGAGTAGTTTTGTGTTTGTTTAAGACATCTTCCCACTCGGCGGCGACCCCGTGGAAATGGATAAGGAGAGCAGAAATTTGTGTGTGTGTGTGTGGCAGATTTTTTGACAGGATATCCGTGGTAGGTAAATAAACATTTCTTTTTAATGTTTATTGAGAGATTATTGCACCAGATATTAGTTTTTATGATCGTTTTGAAAAGATTGAAAATTGGAAAACGTATATGTAGGTTTCATTTAGAAAAAAAGAGCCAGGTGAAAAAAGCGATTCCATTTTCACATTAAACGAAACGTACGGACGAGGGATTGTTTCGTTTTTGAGTATATAAACAGACGAAGGCTAAGGCGAGAAATGAACAATAGGTGTATGTTTATTTATTAGCGAGTTTTGACAAGAAAAGAAGAAAAAAGAAACATGATGCGCTTGTTTGAAGCGCGGGAAAAAAGAACCTTGAATTTTTAAGTCGTACTTTTTTTTTCAAACCGCACACTTCTTATATCCCGAGAAAAGATTTTGAATGAAATAATGTGCGCTCAACTGGAAATCGAATTCAAGTGTTCTTTATGTGGGCGATGTAAATGTTTCTATGGTTTCCGACGGTGGGTGTTTTCTTCGTCACATTATTCAGGATGGCCGAGAAATGCACGGCCGCGGATGGCACACAAAATTAGTCCCCCTAGTTTATAGTTTTTTTTTGCGCGCATTATTTTCGAAATTAGGCCAGAAACTAAAGGATTGAAAGTAAGATAAAAGCTAGGAAAAAAAAAAACAGAAATTGGGCATCGAAATCCGTATCAAATGTTGAAGGCCGTAATTTCATTTGATTTCGGTCGGCGCCGAATTCGGTTTAAACTTTGCCGCCGAAGCCTTGTCTTTTCCTCCCCATCGCAATCTCCTCCCTTTTTATTTATTCGAGCTGTCTTTCGCCCAAATATGATTTCCTGAAACGGCGCGAGATCTGTCACACAATCATCACTCAAACATTTTTGCGGACCGCAGAAAGTGTGAAAAAAAAAAAACGATGAACACAACAACATAAACAATGGACTAATAAAGTTCCATTGGTAATTATTTCTGTTTTAGTTCAGAAAATGAAAGGATAAAGTCGGGATGAATGTCGAATGCATGCGAGGACATCGGAGGGAAAAAAAAGAACTAAGCCGACGTGTGTGATGAAGGAGGAGCTAATTTCCGCGCTGGTGAGCATTTAATTCACATCTTCATAATTTCTTCGATTAAAATGTGTCGAGCGTGTTATTCTACATCAAAACTAATGCTTGAGCATGAGTGGGAGGCGGTGATAGAGTAGCTGAAATCTCATTCCAAAATTTGAATGACAACGTGCACTTTTAGAGATATGGACGAAGATCTCAACGGCTCAAAGATTAGGCAACAAGACAAAACGAAGGAGAATCGTGAAAATTCAATTCTGGAAAATTTCAGAAAGTCTCAAATTTTATTACCACAATGCCTTTTTTTTTGGAAAAATTAATGCTATTTGAAAAAAAGGAAAGAGAAATAGTGAACTAGAGAAACCTGAGAAGACGCCGGTTTTCGATCCTTCCAGAAATCAATGCCTCTGCAAAAACAACAAATTATATCTGGCGAAATTCGATTTCGAGTCGCAAAAACGTCATGCGGGTTGGCTCAAAAAATAAAATAGAAGAACTTCGTCGTCATTGTCGTGTTTTCTTTTTGTATTCATTTGGAAATAATGAAAACGTCGCCGCCTCATTGACCACCTTTAATGAAATGTAATCCGCAGGTGCAACAGGCGTGTTCACATCAAAAGTGACAAGCCGATATTAGAAGGCGGGTGGGTGTAAGTCGATATACGACATCGGTTGAAAACCCGACGCGTCGAAACCGCTCTTGACAATAGATTTTTGAGGCGAAATCAATTAGTGGCACCAAATTGAATTAGACTTTTCGGTTAGTTGCGACTTATTAACCGGGTGGAAATGCAAACTCGCAATAGAATTTCGGCAGGGTTGCTGGCGACGAGATGCACCAAACAATGAACTGTCTTCAGAGTTCATGAGAACTGCATAGCTTTGATATGTAAACTAGAATTTAATTTTTTTGGACTTCGCAATATTGGCTGAATGTCAGAAGAGAAACAATGGCAGTGGTCTTGGCTCAAAAGGTGTTGATTTAGGAACCTATTTATAAACTTAAAGGCGCACACAGATCATTACCTAATTTTTTTGGCATTTAGCCAATCTTCAGTTGTCGCGCGAATAGTTGTTTTGCAAGTGGGCGGGGCTCAAGTGTCCCCCCTATTGGGACCCAAGAGACGGCAAAACGTGGAAAAACAAGATAGTCAATTGTTTCCAAAGATTTTAATAAGTGTACCCAGAGAAAAAGAGGGTTTAGTGTTTTCATCAAAATCCAAACTTTTCCGGATTTCCTGAATTCTGGTTGAACTTGTTTCGATTAAGGGCGATACGGTAAATATTAAAAAAATTCAATGCTACACAGAAGAAAATTTTTTTCTGTATTGAAGTTTTCTCAATTTTATCATTTTATATTTTTTAACCACATCACCCTTTTTTTCAATATTTCGATAAAGAAATCTAAAATCATAGTATGTTTTCTCAAAAAAAAATCAAAAACCCAAATCTGAATATACACGTTAAGTTGAGTGTTGCCTTTTAAATACTATGTACATTGCTTCAACCTTTGAGTTAATTCGCTTGAGTGAATCAAATGAAAACCGCCGACAAGCAGAAATGTCATGGAAACAAAATTTGCACTCCATATATGCACATTTGCCATTTTTGATAAGACATTTTCGAGTTTTGCAGCGACGAGAAATAAAAAGTAAAACATTTTGGTTTATTCCATCGGGTCAGCCGTCTCGCCAAAATAGAATCTTGGCGAGGGATGATGAATTGACTTCAACGCCAAAATATCATTTCCTCGTGGGGATTGTTTCCATCCGAATTTGGCGAATTGAAATTGACTTCAATTTTTCGATTGCCTTGACGAAAATCGATAAATGGAATTGAACGAGGAAACCTGTTTGTCAGCGACCTTTCGAATCGCTGCGTTTTGTTGATTTTTGCCTAAATTTTTTGAAATTATTTTCTCCCCCAAATTAATAAGAACTTAAAACCAATTTTGCTTAAAATCATCTTATTCTAAACTATTTGTATTTCAAAAAAAAGAAGATAAATTAACTAATGTTCAATCTGCCGACATTTTCCCGGCAAATCTCAATCGAATTAATTTCGACATTCAGAACGATGAGTAGCACCGAGGAGCCAAAAAGTATGCTCGACGACAATTGCTCGGCATCCTACATGACCCCATATGCCACAGTCATCGCCATGACATCGCTCTACCTTCTCGCAGTTATATACTTTTGCAAAAGTTGACTGAAACCGAGGATGACATTAAAACCATTTGGAATTTTTTTTCAGACGGCCGGAAAATGTGTAGTCCGTTGTCTGACAGCGTCTATCCATATCAGAAGCGTCTCAAGCAGCTTGAACGAGGTCTATCAAATGCGCAATGCTTCAATATCAAATCAAAAATTTTTCAGACTTGAAGACATTTATAATTGAAGATGATCATATTGAAGTGGACAATTTTCAAATTGGCCAATCTGAGCATGGCTTTATTTTTAAAGGCGGCGTATTTCCAAAAACTCGCAACAGATTCAATATGAAGGTCACCACTGCGGTCAAGGTGAATTGATAAGCTTTACCATGGAATCCAGTGATTTAAGATCAGCTTCCCGATTGTTGAGAAGTCGATATGCCTTCTAGAAGATGCTTTTCGATTATCTAAATTGGATCATCCCAACTTGATCCGACTCATTGGTGTCTCTCAGCTATCATTCACAGGTATTCCAACGATTCCATTGAATTCCCAAATTGTTCAGTTTTTCGACCAATTATTGCGTTGGAATGGCTTCCCGGCGGCACTTTGGCCGATCATTTCGCCTTCATCCGATCCAAAGACGAACAAGAGCGGCCGACAATTTTGCTCAAAGATGTGCTGTCGGTGATCGAGCAGATCTCGGAAGCGATTCAATACATTCATAGTTGTTGCGATGAGTTTGGACAGGAAATGACACACGGACGGATATACGCGAGGAACGTGCTCATCAGCGAGCCGGATCTTCGTAAGTGCACCGCGAAAATTGGTGATTTCGGCGAGTCGCCAATGAAAAATGAGATACGCTATCCATTGGTTGCCTATTTGCCTCCGGAGATTCTGTGCTGTACGGAGAAGGTGCCGCCGCACAGACCCGAAAATGATGTGTGGTATGGTCAAGTGGATTGATTACAAATAATTATGACGATTCAGGATGTTCGGGGTTTTCTTATGGGAATGCCTAACCTTAGGTTCAGAGCCGCATTATCGCAAATCAATTGAGGAGATCAAAAAGTAATTATTTTTAATTGCACAATCAATCGAAATTTCCGTTTTAGAAGCTTTCGACTTCCCGACCGCGGCCTTCCATGTCCACCAACATGCCCATTAGACGTGTAAGTAGTTTCATTTCCAAAAAAAAAAATATATTGGACAAGAAATTTTTGAATTTTCAAAACTTTTTGAAAGCTAAATTACATCTGGAATGGAAAATTCGATTTTCATTTGTGGGAAAAGGTTATCCAAAATTCGTTATTTTCGTGGACTAATTTTTGTGGTCGCAATTTTCACGGCCATTCGTTTATCAAGCAGAGTTTTGGGGAGGGGGTGAGGGAATTTTTTATGTCACGTTTTCTGAAGGTTTTCAATGACACAAAACTCGTCATTTTTGCGGTTTTCTCTTCCAATAATACTGATTTTATGAAGATAATATAAAGTTAGTCAAATTTGTTGTAAAAAAGCTGGTTAAAACAGCTAAAATATTGGATTTTCCTAGTTTTCCGGAATTTTCGAATTAGGAAAAAGATTTTCAGTATATTTCATATTTACTACAATTTCAGCTGGACACTTGTGATCGACTGTTTATCCGAAGCCCACTCTCGCCCACGCTTCTGCTCGGCAACGACGTCCCCAATTCCCGCAAGGATCAATTCTCTGAAACGAATCGTCTCAAACTCATTATTTCTTTATCCAATGCCCGACATCTCAGTTTGCACTTGTATTCAGCACCGATGCAATAGTGTATATTAATATGCATATTCATTGAATTGCATCCATTGTTGCACGGGTCCTCATACCTTTTTTCATGATTTGTGAATTAAATAATGGCGAGCACGCAATTCCCAAACACCTTTTTTTGTGAGTTGTGAATGTTGCTTGTTCTTCGAGAATTGTACATCGGAAATTGTATGTCTCGAAACCCATTAATTACTTGCCAAAAAACATATTATTCGAACGCTAAAAACATTCATGTCTGGAATTTTGTTCCCAAAAAAAAGTCAAATCAGTGAGCAACAGCTTTAGTTTATTAAATAATCTAGAAATTCAACAAATTATTTTGAAAAAAGAAGAATGAAATGTGTGGCCGAATAATGCTGGCCGCCGAAATTCTCGGTTTCACGATGGCGGCCACAAAAGAATACGTGTTCTTAATGCTCAATTGAAACCCCCTCAACTATTTAAGAATTCAGCAAATATAAAATATTCTTAAAATTTGATCACATTGTCCATTAAAAGGCGTATGAAACTTGATCCTCATCATTTTTGCATAAAAAATGAATAGCATAGTTTTTAAACGAAAATCCATTTAGTTTGCGTGTACATTGAGAAGTGTCTCATTCGAAATTGAACCCAAATATAGCAAGCAACAAACCAAAATTGTCCGCCTGATTAGTCATTGAATTCAACGCATTTATCATTGCGACAAGCTCCAAATAGCACAAAAAAATTCTTGATAGTCTCTCGATTCTCGATTCACCGATATATTTGAATTTTCGGAAAGTTCATTCGCCCTCATTACTCGTCGCCGAGAGCCATCTTACATATATTGCAAATGTCTATTTCTTGCGAATCTCCATTTTCTGTGTTTTTTGTGTGTGTGTTGTGCGCTGCTCAATCCCCCACCACCCTCCTAGCCGGGGCTCAATTCCTATTGTTTTAATTTTATTTTTCGTGCAACTCGTTGACACCTTTTCATATTTGTTGCTCTTATCCCAGAATCATTTCGGTGCTCTTTTTCTCTTTCAACCCCCCTATCGCGCCGCCTTGACGATGAATGAAGAAGAAGAAGAAGGAGAAGGGCGGGGTGTCGTGCCGACCACGTTATTCCCAAATGAAGCCATTTCGTCTAAATGGCTTCATATCAAGTAATAACTTTTATACACCCTCTTTTTTTTTATTTTTCAATAAAAGTCAAATAAGTCGTGTTCTGGGTCGGGACTTCATCCCAACCCGCTAAATTCGTTGTAGTCTAATTCTCACGCTCGCATTCCATTCATTTTGGGTTTGAGAGAGTTTCGCTTCGGGACCCTATCAATGTTCACTTATCACCTATTTTTGGCGAATCTTAACGTCTGAATGAAATCATTATGAATGTGTGCATCATCATTCGAATTAGAATGTGTGTGTGTGTGTGACGTCGCGACGATTTTCGATACCTACCGTAGTATCTCGAGTATCCAATTAGTCGGTGCCCCCCCCCCAAAAAAAGGGACAGGGTGTTATTAGTGACATTAGTACAAGCAAAACCTTCTCCCCTCTAAAACACCTAATTATTGGAATTCTCCGCTTTAGTAGACGTGTAGAATTACGCTCATTAAAAGTTCTTGATAAATAAACGCGGCTTGCCGTGCTGTTTTTTTTTTCTCTTCCCATCGTTTCTTCATCCCGTCGCATTCTCGACGACGGCGAAACGAAAAGAAAATGAGGGGTGATGAGGTTTTTTTTTCGCCCTAAACTTTACATGTGTTTAGGGGCCAATTAGGGCTCCTGGCCACTTTTTCGATAAAAGAGGTTCTCGAGGCTTTTCCTTTTTTTCCCCCCCTTCACTTCAACTCCCGTTTTTTTTTTCTACAGGATTTGCGCCAAATTCTCTTGCCTTATCGATTTCAAATCACCCAAACTGGTTTTTGTTTCGAGCCTCTCATAAACTCGTGCCGAAATCCGATTATTTTTGCTCTAATTCGACGAATTAAATCGATTTTCGCGAACGCTCCGCTCATTTTCTTGCTTCTATTTCTCTGAGAATTTTATCAGAAGATCATCCATCATCCACCAGATACTATGTATTTACGGGCATGTGCCTTTAAAATAAAAATTGACATCTCATTTGACACTTACAATAACTAAAAGTTTGGCATTTAAAAATGGCGCACGATAGAAATTTCCTTCTAAAAATTTGACGGAGCGGTCTTGCCGCGATGCGCCTTTAATCAAACCTTTGTTTATCACCGTAAACCTACACATCTAGTTTTGCGCTGAGGCCGCTTTCATAGTTTTTTTTGGTATTTAGCCAATTCAGCGAAGGCGCCGATAACACAAAATTTTGAAAATAATTCCCACAGACTAACTTCACATAGCATTCTTTAGGATTTAGAAAAGCTTGAACCTTGAATTCTCTGCTTTCACTCATTCCTCCCATCCCATAGAATTGAAACAAATTATCCATCTAGTATTTGATAACTATCGTCATGGCTTAAGATTAAATTCAAAGGAACGCTCATGCCGCTCCTTAATTCCCATTCGCCAATGTCGAGATTCTCATGAAAAAACTGAAATGTCGTCGGTGCGTCCCGAAAGAAATAGTCGATTTGTCCGACTTCATCATACCAACTTTTTTTATCGTCCACAATTGATTAGGAACCTAATATTAATGAGCCTCGTCGCCGCCGTGCTCATATATTTTATTATTCGGCCGCCTTCTTCCCCCATAGACAATATACGTATGACTGCCTTCCGAAATTTTCCGACATAATGAAATGTACTTCTTTTTTTTAATTCTGAATATTGGATTTGTGCAATTTCGGAGCTAGGATTTTCAATTGATTTCACACGCAGACTAGGCATAGCCTGTTTCAAAAAAAAAAAAGAATCGGCTACTGTAATTATTTTGTGGACGCGTTGCGGTTCGCGTGCGCTACCTGGTCTTGCAGCGAACAATTCTGGTTGCCGCTTTTTTTTGGGAAATTCGCTATACTTAATTAATCCAAGATAAAATGTGTGCAAATTTGCGTCTGTGTGTACGCAGACAAACGAAACGGATCGTGTTAATTTTATATTGTCGAAGACAGATGCCTTTCGATGGACGAAGAATTAAAATTCAAAAATGGGCAATTTGGTTTCGCAATTATTTTCGATTTGGCTGCGTATCAAACATATGCAAAACTACAGTACACATCAAAGGGGCATACAAGAATTTGTTAATGTCGCGTCAAGAAGCAAAACTGTACTTGGTCTAAATTCTTTGAATTTCCGGAAATTGTCTGCCTACGACCAATAAATGTATTCGTAGTGTTCTTTTGAAAAAAAATGCGGCTATCACGAAAACTATTAAAAACTTTGGCTCCAAGATTGTGAAATTTTAATGAAATCGTGTAGAAACGCAGAAATAACAAAATAAAATAAATTAAATCATTTTATGAAAGGTTCGCATAGCAACAAATGAATTGGGTCTCGCGGCAACCGAATCTGATACCCCGCTTTTTTATGGCAACTGTACTTTAATATGTGTGTTCTTTGAACTCTTCTCATCTCGTTTTGCAAAGCTTCTCCGAAGCTTGATTAAGACGACTACAATTTGGCCAGCTTCATGAAACCCACACACATGCTTCACTGAAGCTTTCTTTTTTACCATTTGTCATATTCGAGATCAACGATTTCGAATTAATTGCTTGCACATTGTTCATCAACATTTCTTTGCTCTCAATCCAATAATTACCATCATCAGTTGTTGTGGAGCATTAATTATTGATGATAGTGTTGGATAATTGCTTTCAGGAACGACACACACACACACACATACTCACACAGATCGAAGAAATGCGAGACTAGGCGATGACGTCCGAATCGATAATCGTTCAGAAGCCGCCGAACACCTTCTTCTGTCCATTCTCGTTGTACACCTCATCGGTGATTCTAGCGTTTCTGCATGGCTTCTCAACGATCTCACTGGCGTATGTCATCCGATTGATATTCATCCGAATTTCCCAATTCCAGAGCTCTCTACAAAATCGAAATCGAAGCGACGAGCACAATAGTTGAGATCGTGTTCTGGATTCACGTGTGCTGCGGTCTCACCGCGTTCGCCTATTTCGCGTTCTGTTTGTTCAAACGGAAACTCGGTTATACTTATGAAATTATCCTGCACACTTATTTGTTGACTGGTGTGAGTTATGCTATAATACTTCATATACGAAGATAATACGGAATAAGCGCGTGGGAAATTATAGGTGTCAAGCATTGGCATTTCAAGCGAAACAACTGAAATGCTAGATATGACTAATATGGTCTCGCTGAGAATTTCTATGCGCCTTTAAACAGCACGCCAAATGTCTGATTTCAGCTTCTCAATGGTTTGACGGCGTTATTTGGCGTTCTCTATGTGCCGCTATTCTTCCTACAAACGGAGCATTCTTTTATGGAAGGTTGGCAATTTTGAGCGTCTCACGCTTCAAATTGAGCCCATCAATTTTGCAGGTATCGACTATTTCATTGTGTTCCTCTTCTGCGCTGCCGTGCTCGGCATTCAATGGGGCGTCAAGAAAATCAGCGAGCAAATGCTTCCTGTCATGGAGCAGGACTTCAAAGTCTAAACTAGAAAACTTCTTTCAAATGAAAACATGTTTATTGACTATAATAATATTAGACCTCGTATATGGAATATCGAACCCGTAAACAATGATAATAAACATGCAAACTAAACGATATGTATGACATCTATAAATGATAACCATTGCGTTTCATGATATTCAACAATTTTAAACGATTCTCAATGACTATTCGATCCGTCGGATTCAATTTTAATGCCTGGTTGTAAGCTTGAAGCGCCAAATCATATTTTCGATTCGAGTGTAGCATTGCTCCATAGTTGGCTTGTGCTTCTGCCGAGTTTGGGACAAGTTGGGCCAATTTTCGATAAAACGTCTCGGCTTGCAACGGAGCTCCAGATTCGCGTAGAAGATTGGCAAAGCCTTGAAGTGCCTCCCGATTGTTGGGATCGAGATCCAATATCTTTGTATAATACAAACGGGACTGGTTGTAGTGGCCCTAAATTGCCAATCAAAAGAATTTCAACAAAATCTCGAGCTCCTTACATTCTTGTGCTCCATTCTAGCGATATTCTGAAGAACTGCAATCGAGTCAGGTGCAATGTCCAACGCTTTTGTCAACAACTCGGCAGCCTCATCAGACTTGTTTTGAAGAATTCGAAGATTGGCCATGGTTAAATATGAATTCACGTAAAGGGGATTCGCTCGAAGCGCAGATTCATAATAATCCTCGGCCAACTTTGTCTGCCCAATTCCCGTATAGCACTGTCCGATCGAATTAAAGACAGATGATGTGTGCTCAAAAGACGCTGGTGCAATTTGAAGAGCCTGAATTATAAAAAATAGTTTCTAATTTTTATGCGACCTTTAGGGGACCTTCTTTAAAACATGAACAGCTTCGCGGAATCGATCAAGCTTCTGAAGGAATCTGCCTTGATTGAGCGCGCAAATAGCACGAATCCTCGCGTGATTCTTGAACGACTTCACATTCGTCCCGGGATCATTAATACACTGATCGAGATGGCTCATGGCATCCTCAATTCGTCCCTTCTCCCATAGAACAAGTGCCAGATTCAGATGAGCAGTGGCGAAATTTTTTCGATACTTCAACGCATTCAAATAGCACTTTGCCGCTTCATTGCTATCATTTTTCGATAGAAGCACACCTCTAAAAATGGCACGATTTTGATGGAATTTCATAGAGTGTTGAAAAAAAAGAAACTCACAAATTGTACCATGTGTCTGAAAGTGTCGGACGGTGTTTGAGAGCCGATTCATAATGGAATTTGGCCTTCTCGAAATTGTTCAGCGATGAGTAGACGTGTCCAAGATTCGCATGGGCTGAAACGAGATCCAATTGGAATACGTTTTGATTCTCAAGGTCACAGTGACCATTTGAGGAACTATTAATTCTCACCTTTGGCCGGATTAATATGAATCGCACTTTTGAAAAGGCTCTCCTCGGTTTTCCAATCATTCACCCTTTGCATGGTCCGTAGAAAATGAATGCCAATGATTACCATAAACATTCCACAAACCCATTTTTCTCGTCGTTTTCTGAAAAGAAGCGATGCGATCTTCGGAAAACAATCGCGTGTGTTTGACTTACGAGAAATTGTGCAAAACTAGGCCAATCAGCAATGAATATGCGATAGCCGGCAGGTACAAAATGCGCTCGGCGGCCACAAATCCGACATAGGCAATCAAGTTCGACGATAAAACATGCGGAAGACACATGAAACCCAGAAGGAATAGCGTTTTCTGAGGGATCTGAAGAAAATGTTTGGATTCGATGAAAACAATTGAGGCGATTACTCCAATTTTCTTTGGCTTCTTGATAGTCTCCTTGAGAAATTTGACGGCAATATTTGTCAAAGAATAGTAAAATAGAATCGATTTTAGGAAGCGGGGATCATAGAAGGATCGAATTGGTTCTATTGCATCCATGGACCAATCAAAACATAACTGAATGTCGGAGTTTCAATTCTACCAAATTTCGCAAGTCTTACATTTTTTGGGAAGACCATCAGCATTAGATGGAAGACAGGAAGGTATATGAATGTCATACTCCTTACAAGGAATGATGGCTCCATTGAAGTCGGATTGTCAGCTCTGGAGAAGCTTGGCTGCTCGAAATTATTAACCGCCATTCTGATGTAGGCAATGATGATCAGTGCCCCAATCATTTTCTGAATCCTTTGGACAGTTTTCTGCAAAAGTAATATGACCCATGATTCGTTCCCTTTTCTTAATGATGTTTTTCGTGTTTGCCATGCATTTTGTTCTCAAGGTTACGGTAGACAAAAGACGCATACCCTACGCGCATCATTGCCCGATGAATAATCATCATTGTGCGCGAAGAAACGCTTTTGACGCGCAAAGGTGAATGCTCATTAAGGTCTCGCCGCGAAGGAAGGTGTGACGGCCGGAAATCGCGCACTTTTTCCAACTAAAGTGGTCCGCTAATTGGCTCCATTAGTGGAGAATCTTCATGTACGTAAATTTTTGGAAATCGAACAATTTGGGAGTTAACATTTTAAACGTTTGTTATTGAAGATTTAAAATGTGTGCATTTTTGCGTGCGCGTGTATGAACCCACAAGTCTTCAACATTGTTTTTAAATGCAAAAAAAATTCCATACATTTAGAATTTTATTGTTTCAATTATTTCCAAGAATTTCCTAGAATCGGATTTCAAAATTTGCTTGATATCAAGATTTACCAGAATCGATTCTCCTTCTCCCCAACATAACAACCGGCTGTCATTTTCCCATGCGCGTTAGCCGCCACGCACACGCTCACATTTTCCTCATTTGATTTAATGCCCAACTTACCGTGTTCGAGATCAAAAGAAGATCGTATAGAATGAGTAGTGGTAGGAGGACAATGCCGGTTTCTTTCGATAAAACCGCAAGGACAGCAATCAATATTGAGCGACCAACAGCCTACAGTAAACTCTTGCTGTTACAGTATACCGATCTGGGCGGTGTACCTGGCATTGTTTGTAGAGCAACACCGCGATGAGGACGAAGCATGTTGCGAGCAGATCAGCCCGGCCAACAATTGAGCAAGTCGCTTCAGTATTAATGGGATGGACGGCGAACAAGACGGATGAGAGGAACGAGAAGGATTCTGTCAGAAAAAAAACCATTACCAATTAAAACATTATGAATAATTGAGAATATTTCTGACAGATGTTGTATCGGGTTTCCGAATTAACGGCTCCTAATGCGCACGTGAAATTTGATAGTTACCATTTGGGATTAAAGATGTCGAGAGTTTGAGCACCATGCAACTGTTGGCGGTATGAAGGATGACGTTGAGCAGATGGAATCTGAAAATTCGAGTAGTGAGCTTTGTCTCATTTTCATTTTGTGCTTCCCCCCCCCCTCCCACATAAGTGGTTGACGTAATTCAATTGAAAAACGTTCACAAGCCAAAATTGAATTTCGCAACGAAATGCAAATCGCGCCAACTCGATTTCATAACGCGATTAAATTCAACGAGACTTGCTCTCAGATTGTCCTCCCGTGCCCAATGAGCTCTCAATAATTATATGTTGACATTGGAAGATGTTTGTGCATCATGTCATCCGGTGAGTATATCTCCATATCTAAGCGTCACATGTGGCGGCGACGGACCACCGCGAATTATGACAGAGTGTATGTTGGATAACATTAATGGGTCTCATGGGGAAAATCCGGCGCGGATTTCGTTGAGACGAGCGTACTAATGGAAATCAGTAGAGTTGTTTCAAGGTTATATGCAAATTCACTAATCCCACATACTAATTCTACTTTGAAGCTTACAGTGGCGCGCGGAATCCGTGAAGATTGTGTTGAATGCGAAACGTGGCCGTAATTAATGGACGATAACTTTTATGCGATCCTTTGAGTCGGATCGGATTGCCCCAGAAATCGTTGTCAATCGCCATTGTCAACCACGATGTGTGTCCGGTGACATCCTCATTGTTCAAAATTGCGGGTCTGAAATTGACAATAAATTTTTTTTGGAATATTTATGATTTTTTTACGTCTATTTTTTGTATAGTTCGCTTCTCGGAACACCCATCAAATTGGAAATAAAAAGTACGAAATGCAAATATTTACAGAATATGTATTGATGTGCTTATTTGGAAAAGGGCTTTGATGCATCCAAAAAAACACCTGCTGATTGGTTTTTTGTGGAAAACTGTATTGCATTATGAATATATACATTTTTTTCTCTAGTCATTAAGTTCTCTTTCGAATTTTTAAAATAAGTTTTGTGATGTGCAATTTGGCGTCAAGTACAGTAATAATCAGTCTGCATTTTTGCGTGGAAACTCAAATATTTCTCTTTCCCTTTCTAGTTATTTATTGCTTTGTTTCCCTTCTTTCTTCGTTTCTAGTTATTAGTATTACTTCTACTACGAATATACTACGTATATCTATATATCCCATGCATAATGCATCAGGAAAAGTGTTATGTTTCGGAATTGCTAATTAGTTTAGAGGGCGGATTTGAAGCTGCTGCTTTTTATAGAGAGGGCCTCGTCGCACCTCTAATCCACGGACCGCCTTGAACAAACTAATTATGGATGTGAAAATTGCATTCGTTTTTTTTTTTCCGGAGGAGGCTTCTCCTTCACGATGACACCCGAAAAATGAGAAGACGTCGGGGGGCGACACACAAGTCTATCAAGAATTTGGCGAGCTATAAAATGCAATTTCCTGTCTTCGGCTACTCGTCTTCTTCGTCCCCCCCGTATTACGGCACCCATTTTTGTGGAAGCAATTGGTTGGGCTACTTGCGTGCGCGCGCATGCAACCAAGGATACTTAAGAATTAGTATCATTAGTCGCAAATTATGATGATAAAGTGGGTAAACACACAAATTTGGCCAATTGTGGTACTATTAGATAAGAAACCGAATTTCTGGATACGTATTAGCTCTGTTATCAAGATCCTCTTAAGATTCATCCAGTGGACAAAAAATCTCTGCCACGCTGCGCCTTTAAACCGTCAAATCTTTACTATATACACGAAGCAAACGTGTTTCGTCAAACTATATTATTTACCTGAAGGCGCGCATTTCAATATTGCGAAAAACAATAGAATTTGCGTTTGCGCTCTTGTGTGTGTTGCTACTGCTCAAATTACTCTCTCACTCACACACGAACAAAACAAAAATTTCAAGTAGTCAACAGCCAATTCCATTTCTCCAAAAAAAACATGGGCTGGGACCCATTCATATTAATGCGATATCGCTTGAGTCATTTTTTATGAGGCGCAAAAAAAATGACACCCCGCCAACACCTATTTTTTGGGTACTTGCCATTTTTTGTCTAGTGAAACTCAGGAAGAAAAAAGGTAAATAATTGAGTTCGAAAGGTCTCATTTCCGGTTGAGCGTTTTGAAACGAGTGAATTCGGCAACCCCCTTGAGAATTTTCAACATTTTGCCTACCTGTCATCATAAACAAATTCCGAGTCAAGACTCGTCGAATAGGTGAAAAATGCGATAGCCGCTAGAATATAGTATTGTGTGGGACCCGTGGGTAATTCGTGAGGGATCATCATCTGAATATATGGTTTTGGCGCGGAGAATTGCGGGTGGGGGCTGCGTGTTCGAAGACGGACGGATTCGCTCCACCCATTGCGAGTCACGACAAGACAGTGGGTGTGACGGAGAGGCGCCGAGAATCGAGTGTTGGTGACACGAATAATCGGCTTGAAATTCATCAACGCTGCTAGTTTTTTTTTTCGTTGATTCGTTTGTTGTGAACAAAATTTGTAGATTCACATATTTTTGGTGGAGGCAACAAAAAAATGAATTAACAAGTCCTGCGAAAAATTCTCGGCGAATCGGGTAGCACGTTTCTTTTAAAAAAATTAGCTAGCAACATCCTCGTTTGGAAAACCTAAAAACTAGATATTTTAATTAGACAACTTTTTTAAGTAAATTATTTTGGACACTTCACATCACGAAAAAAAAAACCTATTTTTTTTCTTTTTTCCCCAATTGAATCTGTCGGTTAAAGGAGCCCGTAGTAATATTTCTCAAGGTTTCTGAAATGAAACTAACGGCTTTCTTTTTTCAGAAACAGAGAATTTTTAATTAAACATTTCGCTATTGTTTCTTGCAGGCACAAATCAAAAGAAATTCCGATTAAATCGCTTATACCACTTAAAAATAGAAAATTACAAAACCACCCACAAGAAAATACAAGTAACCACTTAACTCCCACAACGATCTTTCAACAATTCCCTCCCAACCGTCATAATCCCGTTATCTGTTCGTGAGAACACCTCAGCGAGAATCGATTCTGGCCTCCGATAAGAACTCGGCAGATTTATGTCGGGAACACATCAAACAAAGATGCCGCGCGAAGTCATCTTATCACCACCACAACGCCACCATTCAAATTCTCGCCCTTCTCATTCCAAATCCGTGTTGACAGCTTCGAAGGAACATATTGCAAGAGTGAAGGACACATGACAAAAACAATTAATTTTTTCCGTCTTACATTGAAAAAAAGACAAATTTAAAATCTCTTAGCAATTATACTTTAATCCTGGTTTGGAGATCCTTCAACCGCACCGCTGCCCGAATCATGCCGAGATCTGAACCCAAAATTAATTAAAACGAAACACAAAACGATTTTACCGCTTCTCTTTTCGCCTATCATCATCGTCATCTCTTCTTCGACTACTGAAAAAGGCTATCGTTGATTTATTTGCATGTTCGCGCTGTTTAATGGCCTAGGGTCAAAGAAGTAAGGCTAACAATCTTGTAAAAATCGTACTCTAGCCTTAAACATTCCCTTCTTTCAAAAAAAAATTGAGCGGAACTTCAATAACGCATTTAAAAACCTCATAAAACTTAAACGGTCATTCAAATTTTTCTTTTTGCCAAAAAAATGTTCAACGTCACCTCTTTTTCTTGCTGCTCTCATCATCATCTCTCCGATCTCGACGACTATCCTTTCGATCGCGATCATCACGATGACGCTTCCGGTCACCAGAAGCACTACGGCTTCGATGGCGTCTTGACCGATCGCTTCCGCGGTCACGATCGCTACGGCGTCTTAATATAATGTATTTAAAAGGAAACATTCAAAAATTCCACAAACCTATCTCGATCCCTTTTCGAAGGACTTCTCGATCTCGAGCGCTTCCTTCTCCTACGCTCATCATCATCATCGTAGTCATTCGATTCACGTCGCGAGCTATCCGAGGAGAACGACGATCCAGGCGGTCCCATTCCGCGCGGTGGTGGGACAGTTGGCATATTCGCAAAACCAGCGCGAACATGTTGTGGTTGAGAGAAATTGGGCGGCGGTAGGTTAAATCCAGGTGGTCCCATCATTCCCAATGGTGGTGGCATTCCGGTTCCGATTCCTGGTGGTGGCATGGAAGGATTGAAGCTGAAAATAAACATGAACATTTCTAAAAACATGAATCCTACTTTGGCGGTGGCATTCCTAGGTTCAAGTCAAGAGCACCCGGTATTCCAACTGGAGGCTGATTAGTAGGAGGCGTTACGATGCCTGGGGGCTTATCCGAATTAAGATCCAAACCGGGAGGAGCTTCTGAAAAGAAGAAATTGGAAATTTTTATTTTAACAAAACAACCTGAAACTGAAGGAGGATGACTGGAAGGCGGAGGTGCCATCGTCATTTGGGGTTGAGGGATGCCTGGAATTCCCATCGGCGGCATTCCAACTGGCGGTGGCCTGGAGAAATCAATTATTTGCGCAGGAGCGACGTTTGGTGGCGGTTGCGTGGGCTGACCACTGATGACAGTGCGAATAATAGGCTTAAAATTATGCAATGATTACAAAATATAAAATTTGAAAGCTTACTTCGGTCGATGGCTGAATGTTTTGCTGATAATGCGGCTTGAAGCGCCCGCCGTTGTCGGTTAATACTTTCACCGTACTCGTTGTGGCTAAAAATTCGTTATTTCGCTGACCTTGAAACAAATTATCTTACATTGCTGAACAATTGGCTGCGCCAAAGGGTTGCTCACTTGAATCGACGAAAACAGTGCCTTGTTCGCGGCTGCCTGATTATTTCCAAACTCGGCTCGCAGTTTTTTCTGCCTCTCGCAATATAAATTCCAAGTATCCTCATTAAAACCGTAGTTGAAATAATCCGTTATGTCGGCTCCCGGCTGTCGCCATGGTCGGTCTTCCATTTGAGCCAAATCTATATCATAAATAGGTTTATCGTTGACCATCGGTGTTCCATCGAGATCCAATTTTCCTTGTTGACTTGCATGAGCAGGTTTCTAAAGTAAAGGTATAGGATTTCGATTATTGTTAGTTTTAATGGGTTTACATTAAACTGGGATGTATCGACTTTCCGAATAGTAACTTGCACGGCACCACCTTCTTCATCAGAGTCATCATCGTCCGCAAATGGATTTTCTGTAAAGCCAAATTTAAACATAAAAATAAAAAAAATTCACCATCGTCATCTTCGTTTTCTTCCTTCTCTTCTCCTTCATTCTTTTCAGTATCCTTAGTTTCAGACGTTTCTTCGGCATTCGCGGGCTCATCCGTCTCCATAGACTCCTAACAAGGATTATAATAACGAAATATACTATTTTCATCTATTTACCGCGTCAAATGGGGCTAAGCCCGGCGGCAGTGCTTCAATATCCTCCATATTTTAAATAAATTACTGAAAAATGAACGAATTCAAACATATCAAATTTTGACAAATGAAAACGGCAAAAACGTTTTTTAAAGGCTCATTTATAAACTGAGAAAAGAAAAAATTAAAACAGTACATTTTTTCCCATTTCTGAACAGGAGATTTCAGGATGAAAGAAAAGTTCATAAGAAACAAAACATAAAAAATAAGGATAAGCGTGGGAAATAATATTTTTCGTTCGAAAATCGAAAAGTGCGCAAATGATTGCGAATTGACGCAATTTGGGTGCTGAGCTGGGGCTGACGCGAAATTTTGCTGACCCAAAATTAGTTTTCTTTTTTTTTTCATTTCAATTTCACTCGGTCTTTCTTGGCGTGTAATGCTCAAAATTTTGTTTGATTTCCGATCGAGCAATTGTTTAAATTACACACATCATGCGTTTCGATATTATAGTTTTCGTGAGTTTGTGCTTAACAATCGCATTTAAAGCGATTGCACTTTTATCACCTCTTAGCCGAAACCGGTCAACTATTATTGATAAAATCGCAGTTTTTGTCTTGTCTGGATAGAAGTAGTTATCAATGATTGATAAAGGAGCTATTCATTCTTCATTAGTATACTTCTGCTACAATGATAACACGCGTTTTATAATATTTCTTTTCTAGGTAGTCGGCCAAATCGAATCATGCCTAGGATCGAATACGAGCCTAAGCTCGATTTCAAGGATGTCATGCTTCGTCCAAAAAGATCTACGTTGAAAAGCCGCGCTGATGTCGATCTTGATCGAACGTAAGTATTCCTGACTAAATTTTTTACAACAATTTCCGATAATTTTAGTTATGAGTTTCGCAACTCGAAGGCATCTTACACTGGAATTCCAGTTGTCGCTTCGAATATGGATACTGTTGGAACATTCGAAATGGCTAATGCCTTGAACGGACATAAGATGTTCACCACTATCCATAAGCACTATTCGGTAAGCACTAAAACTTGTATACAAACGATTGGTATTGTTTTTAGATTGAGCAATGGAAGGAATTTGCCGCCAATGCTGACCCATCAATTTTCGAGAACATTGCTGTTTCCAGCGGAATCTCGGACAATGATTGGACGAAGCTCAACGCCGTTATCACTGAGCTCCCACAACTCAAGTACATCTGTCTTGATGTTGCTAATGGATACTCCGAATCATTCGTCGACTTCATTCGCCGGGTTCGTGAAGCGTATCCAAACCATACCATCATGGCCGGTAATGTGGTTACTGGCGAGATGGTTGAAGAACTCATTCTCTCTGGAGCCGATATCGTCAAAGTCGGAATTGGACCGGGATCGGTTTGCACAACTCGCAAGAAGGCTGGAGTTGGATACCCTCAACTGAGTGCTGTAAGCTCAACTGGTAGTAAATTTGATTCTCAGTCGAGTTATTAAGGTTCTTGAATGCGCTGACGCTGCTCATGGACTCAACGGTCATGTCATGAGCGACGGAGGTTGCACCAACCCCGGAGATGTCGCCAAGGCTTTCGGAGCTGGAGCTGACTTTGTTATGATCGGTGGACTCTTCGCTGGTCACGACCAAAGCGGAGGTGATTTGATCGAAAAGGACGGAAAGAAGTTCAAACTCTTCTATGGAATGAGCTCCGATACCGCGATGAAGAAGCACCACGGAAGCGTCGCAGAATATCGCGCTTCTGAAGGAAAGACAATCACGATTCCATACAGAGGAGACGTGAACGGAACTGTTCTAGACATTCTTGGAGGTATCCGCTCCGCATGTACGTACACTGGATCCAAGCAATTGAAGGTAAAATATTGGTTTTGGATTGCAATATGGAAATTATTCAGGAGCTTGCGAAGAGAGCGACATTCATCCGTGTTACCCAGCAAACCAACGATATGTATGTGCCATTCGAAGTGCCGGCGGTTCCAGCCCAAGCGAAATCAAACTAATTTTGAGCCAAATTGAAATGTTACACATGACACTCGACATAATCTCACTTTTAAATTCAACTTATAGTGCCTTTTGTTTGTGGGTAAATTGTTCGAAAGAAATCAAGGCAATTGGTTTATTTAAAAGCGTTCCTCACAGATTGAGCTGAGCTGATCAAGTCCTCTCATTAGATCATCGCGCTTCTCTTTCTCGGATCGGCATGCACTAAAATCAAGGGGTGATTGAGAAAGAAGCCATTCAGAAATTCGTACAGAATCTTTGAATTGGCCAGCTCCAACATGTGCTTCATATTGGAATGCATTGTAAGAGGAGTGACATCTTCATAAACCCAACGGCGAACTCTTGTGTTGTTCTCGACATATTGCGAGATGGTGAACTTTTGAGCAGGATACTGAATCTCCTTTTCATCGAGCTCGATGGAGCCGTGAGTATCGAAATCTTTTGGCTTCTTCTCCTTCTTAGCGACTTTTGTTTCAGATTTATCACTTGGCGGATTATTCTGAAATTCATATTGCATTTTAGGAAATATGTTGAGCGCACGTCGTCTTTCTGAAGTTTCTGCGCGTGCGGCGGTGTGTGAGTGTCGAGCTCTTTTGGCGGCTGAGGAGCGATAAGCGATTTTTCCTTCTTTGGTGAAATTTTCTAAAAGAAAAAAAAATTATGATGTTGAATTGCGACAAATGTCATACTTCTGCAATCGGTCGAATTGGAGTTTGAGCTCGCGGAACTGACGGCGAGATTTTTGCCTGAAAAGAAATGCATGAATTAATTATGGAGTTGGAAATAATTACGGTTGGCTGAGGTTCTGAAGGAAGAGTGACTTTTGGAAGTAATTGTTGAGTTTCGCGCTTCGACTTTTGCGATCTCGGAGCGCCTGAATGAATTCAAAGATTTTTTGAAAAATTCTTATGAATATTACGCTGGGAATTCGTTGCTTGATTCCTTAAACTCTTTGTCGATTTGGTCGAACTTTTCGATCCTCCTCGTCGACTCTTCGACTTGACACCTTTATGCGACTTCTTGCCGCGCGACTTCGAACCCTTCCTTCCGCGTTTCGACGCCTTCTTCTTCTTCTTCGCGCAACACGCGAACAATCCATTATTTTTCGGCTTCTTTGATCGTTTTCGAGATCTCGATTTACTCGACTTGCGACCACCTTTCGACACCTTCTTGAGCGAGTTTGCCGATTTCGCCTTGGCGGCCGATGAGGTCCGCGAGCGGCCGCCGGCTCGCAATCGCTGAAAATGTGCACACGAAATTCGTCTCGACTCCATCAAACACCAACCGATTCCAACAAGTTGCGCGTCGTCAGCGTTTGTGTCATTTCGTGTTTCAAGCTTAATTAATATTGCGAGTGATGGTCGATTCGAAGCAGCAACGAACTAACGTCAAAACTGTTCGAAGGTTAGAAAAATGTCGAGAATGGTGGCGTCGGCAATTTTTTTGACCAAATTTGGACAAATGTCACGAGCAAATTGCACACGTGAATCATTTGATTGTCAAGGAGGATCGTTTCGTTCAAAATCACAGAAAATTGCCGAATTTAGGGCATAACTATTGCGCGCAATCCATCGATTATCACAGCGATCCGATGCCTCGCCGGCCCCCCTTGACTCCAAAACTATGTAGGTCGTCAAGCGATTTCGATTGATAACATGATGAAGCTGACATCGTATTGCGAAAAGTGAGATGAGACCAGATCGCGTTCGTCTCGCCGCACGCTTTTTTATTTTCATTTTTCGTTCAACTATTCAACAATTTCACTTTTCGTCTCGGGACCCGCCCGCTTTAGAATGTGTAAAAGAGCCTTCAACACCATTGTTTTCACTTCATAATCGGATTTTGGTGGCGTTTTGAATCCAGTTAAGCCTCCCTCCCCCTTCTTCCAACCCCCCCTAATGAACCAATCCAATAATATTATGAATATCGCGTTTTTATGTGTTCATGACAAGCTTCAGTCGTCGTCGTCGTCGTCGTCATTCCCCTCGGTAATCTCATTCTCCCATCGCCTTCGCGTGTAGTTCTTTTTTCCCTAGTTATGAATGAATGTAACTGTCTGTCACATGTCTGTTTAATTATCGTTTTCTATTTTTTTTCTTGTCTCAAGGAACTGGTTCCCAAAAAACTGTTTCCTTTAGGATCAAATATCACACCATGTTGGGAATAATTATTAATTGTTTTCCTCGATCTCGTAGCTAAAATTACGACACATATAAATAATTGGCAATCGTCGAGGTGTGATGTTGATTATACACGTCGCCTCTTCCCCCATCTCATCGTACCAAATCCATTTCAGAATGAAACGCTTGGTGCTCATTTTCGCCATTATCGGCTTCGGTGTCTCCTTCGAGTGCTACTCGTGCAATTCGGAGAAACGCCGAACAGGACCATGCATTGATAGAGTATCTCATCTAGTGCGAATCTCATTATCCCAAAAATCCGATTTCTAGAAAACCATTTGCGAGAACTCGACATCTTGCTCAATGGCGGTGACGTTCCAAAATGGGAAATCCGTTGTTCGCAAATTTTGCACGCCGCCGAACACGCCGATCTACCAATACCTTATGATGATGCCTGGAGCGAGCATGTGCCAGAATTTTGAACTAGTGGGTGCTATTAGTAGAGCTGAATCGGATTCGCGAATTTAGGCTGACTCGACTCAACGACAGCGAAGGCAAACCATAGGGCCGCCAGCGTACCCAGGCGAGCAGGTAGCTGGCATAACCATATAAAGTGTATAGTTTATAATTGAAGGCTTCTCTCCTTTGCGTTTGTACTACCCCGCTTTGCAATAAAGGAACCTATGCCAAGGTTAGTTACGAGGAAGTTCTTCCCCTCAAATTTCGAAGAAATGCCATTTGGTTATCTGTATCTTCATCAAAAGCGTCCCTCATAACAAATTAATTGGTTTGATTGGCATGATTTACAGGTCCTAGAGAACACGATGCTCAACAATCTTCCCCGCCGGTTGCTACCTTCAATTCAAGACTTCGAAAAGGAGTTGAAAGAGGAGCAGAATGATTTCGACGCGAATATGCAGCAGCAGATGGCCGACGCTGGATTCTGATTCATTGGCGAAACGTTGAATTCAGAATATCATTGCAATTTAGTCATACGGATCAGCGTCTTCTAATAATTAATCAATCATACAGGTCAAATAACCGAATGTTATGTTTTTTTTTGCGTATTAGCGGGTTAATAAATATTGAATGATTTTCAAGAGGTTCAATGGGTTGCCACATTCATAATTGGAGTGCGAAAATCCGGATTCGCTCGAGAAGAAGCCTACTGAAACAATTACTGAAAGCAATTTCCGGTGCTTTCACTTTATACGTACATTTCCGCTCGCATTTCGTTTCGAAATCATTACGTAACCTAGCGAGTTTTTGAAATGCTGCCAATTTTGCTATTTTTTAATTTGTTCCAATTCTCGTTCGCAATTTTCTTCGGTGGCTGCGGATGCCGACCGCAGTGCAATTGCGCTCCAAGGCCACAACCGATATGTCCGGTAGGCTTCTATTATTTCAATTGTGTTTCGTACTTATACGGAATTTAGCCGGCTCCTTGCGGCGGGAGCTATAGGCCGGTCTCCTACACACCGCAATACTACAATGCGCCTCGGTATGAGTCGACGTACCAGACGATTGAAGCACATCATCCAGCTCCGAGCTATCAGGTGCCAGTGCAAATTCCCATACAGAGAGGTTACCTCGATTAAAATACGGGGACCATTGGCATATAAAATACATTTCCAGGATACGCTTTTCCAGTTCCATCCTACCCACAACAACCGCAGTATATTGTGAGCCAGCAAGAGCCGATTGCGGTTCCCGCAGCGAAAAGTGCCATCACGTTTAAGACGCATTTCTTTATATCAACTGTCTAGGTGTTCACGAAGAGGCCGAGCATCAAGTTACTTCAAATTCGGGCTCCTCGAAGAAGACAACGTCGGATTCTGATGGCGATCTTCAGTCATTGAATGAATTCGAAAGCTCATTGAAATCGTACAAATCCATGTCAAAAGAGAATTTCCGCAAAGCTTTTGCGTCGAAACTTGAGGAGATTGGCAAGTGCTCAAGTTTGAGGCTCAGAGAGATTATGAGAGAGGTGGGAACCCTTGTAAACCATCTGCGGACAATGATCGGGTTTCAGGCGATGTCTTCGAATGTCGCAATTTCGAAGCTGAAAATCTCGCAGCTCGCGAAACGCGAATTCGGCTTCAATTTCGATGTGATCTGCAGCCACTCAGATTTCTCATTTCTTATCAGCTCCAACATATATTGTCATGTTGAGCACGACGATCTCGTATGTCTTGCCTACCAGAACTAATTCGCCAATCCTATTTTATTATTAGTATATTATTATTATTATCAATTACGAATAATACATATAAAAAAATGAAAATTATAAGTAGCAGTTGGAAAGAAGCTTGAAAAAAGTTGAGAAACGCGGTTTGATTAAGATCTTTGATACCAATTAGAAGTAGATGAACATTTGGCGAATTGGGTTGTTTAGATAGGCACGTAGGACGGTCGATGGAGATAATTCAGACGACGCGCTCCTCCTCGGACTGAAAATCGAACGTAACTGATTGTTCTGGAATTTCGAGAAACCAATAATCTTACATCCATATCCTCGTCATCGCTTTCAGCGCGATCGGTTTGTGGCGCGACGGACGGCGGGGAAGCGTCCTCTTCCTGGCTTGCCAATCCTTTTTGGAACTCCAATTTTTGGCGAATAAGGTTGCGCACGATCGGTGTCACCACGCGGCGTGGGCGCGGCTGCGATTTGATACCAATTATTAGACACAATTGACGGATGATACCTGATCGGCGGCGGCAGAGGCAGCCACTTCGCATTCGGCGCCGACGGCGGCAGCGGCTTCAGCGATCTGAACATGCAATGGGGCTGCGTAGACGTGCGGCACCGCGAGTCTTATGGAGTCTAATGGTGCGACCCTCTACAAATTATCAATGCTTTCAAATGAGATAGAAGGATGACGGCTACCGGCTCTCGGGGATTCTCAGGGATGACGACAGGGTTGACCTGAAAGAAAGCTCAAATGAATCTTGGCGATCTGTATGATTCCTACCGGCGGACGGTTCTCCTCATGACCTCTGTCGTCGTCGTCGTCGTTGTTGTTGTTATTGTTGGTGCCGTGTGCGTCTCCACGGTACGAAGCGGGACGGAATTGACGGCGAAACGGCATCTGAAACCCACATCAACCATTCTTCAATGTGAGATTCGAATTTTAATTCACCGGCGATGGCGAACGCTGCGCGGTTCCTGTCACTGCTAAACGGACCATTCCGTTGACGCGCCGATGGTGACGGTTGGCGCGTGGGCGAGCACCCTGAAAAAATTTGATCAACTTATGAATCGGAGTCAATCTCACTTGAACTTCGTAGCTTCTCTTCATCGACTTGCCAAAATTGTCGCCACGGTCAAAAAGCGGTGAAATACCCCTGCAATACGAGGATAGGAAGAATTAATAGGAAGCGAACAATCAACAAAATCGATTAAATATATTAAATTTCGTTAGAAACGATTAAATTGGTGAAAAATGTTAATTTTGTTTAAAAACATTTTTATATAAATTGTGAAAACCAATCAGTAAATAATAATGAGGGGGGGGGGGACAATTTAATTAAAAACAAATCTCATGTGCAAAAAAAAACTTGAAACTGGCTAGGATACACAGAAAAAGACGGTTGCATGAAAGGACAACGAGTAATTATGCTAACCAGTAATTATGCATGATGATTATGGTTAATTGGTTAGACCCAAACATTGACACGACTCCTGAAACGACAAGATTATTCCGAATCGTGCGACAACTAAGGCAGTGTGGTATTGTGTGTTAACGAAAACGAAAAACATGATCTTGTTCTCTTGCCTTTATTCATTTGAGCTTCTTCTTCTTCGACAATTCCGACGACTTCAATGATTTGTTCGACTTCTTGCCAATGCTGGAGTTCTCATGAGCCATTTGGTTCATTTCATGAAAACCTAATAACATACATATTTCTGGAAAATCCTTCCAATGCCAATAAAAAATCCTACTATTACCATTTCAAAAAACGAGCATTCTGGGATGTTTTCTTATCGGGGCGGTAATTCAAAAAATTCTATAGAATCTTTGGAAGTTAGTGAAGAATCTGTACTAAAAATCATTGAAATTGTCCAGGATGCTCATTTTTTTTGTGAGATTCTCATAGATCATCTTACTTTTCGGATTCTTATTTCCACGAGTCAAACACTTTTTCATGAGTTGCTTAGCAAACGTTCCACCTTCAATTATAAAACATTATTGTCATATTTGATCAATTCCAAACCTTCCATGTGACCCTCAACATCTACTTTCGCCTTATTTCCATAATTCATCAATTGCATTCCAGACGACTCTTCAATAATTCCCATTAATTAGTATAATTGATCAATTCCTAACCTTCTATTGGATCCTCGATTTCCTTTTTGATTTCTTTATCACCAATCTTGGTCTGCTGAGGCGTTCTCGAACTCGTCAGCGTTCGAGTTGGTTTTTGAAGTTTCTTGAGAATTCGAGATTTCATACTTTCGGTTTGCTGCTCTTCTAAAAACAAACTAATAAATTTGAATCCAAAAAATTCGAACCATTGGGAGTTTCTTGTTTGACGTCTTCCGGCTCGATCATATCGGCTTTGCGCTTTCTTAGCGACGATGCACTGCCCTTCTTCTTCTTCTTCATGTTATTCCTCCTCTTCCTTCTCATTTCCCTTTCATATTCATCGTCGTCGTCCTCGTCGTCTTCATAAACATAGTCTTCGTCGGTATCCTAAATATAACCATATTTGCCTCTCGAAGTGACAACATCCTCCCAATCCTTCAGACCACTAACCTCTGAGGATCTTCGTCGTTTCGCCTTTTCGGCATTTTTCACCGGCGTTTTTCTTTTCCTCGAGACAGTTGCGACGATCTCGCAAAAATCGTCGAGTTCATTTTCCATCACTACTTCACCGAATTCGATGATCCCATTTGACACACTATCACAATAATCAATCGGGTCGTTTGGCATAATTTCAAGGAACTCGACACTACGAGTCTCCGCAAATTTCACCGGAACATTGTTTATGGTAAAGGGCTCGGTGGAGCCGATCGTGATATTCCCTAAAATTCCAATTTCAACTTGTTTTATATGCGTTAAGAATACCAATTTGTTGACGCAATGATTTCTCTGGAGGAGCTTCCCATTTTCCAGTGAAACAATTGTAAATCATTGGCGATTTTGCATTAATCATATGGCTATTATATCTAAAAATACTACTTCGAATTTTATGTAAATTCACACAATAACTAACAATTTCAGCGGTATGGCGGTATTTTGAGACGCCGGGGAGTAATTCTGATGCGAATTCGTTGCTTCGCCCGCTGAAATGAATCACAACTGACAGTATTTTTCAATTTTCCATGCCAATTTCGCTCGAATTCGAGCCAGCCAACCATTTTTGAATGTAAAACTCAAACAAACCTGTATTGTCTTTGGCTTCCTTCTTGCCAACGAACGATTCGATCATTTCATATGGCGCACTTTCCTTTTGCTGGAATTCCAGAGTGTGAATAAAGTCTGACTCTTCCAGCTCTGTCAAGTCAATCTCAATCGGCCCATGGACCTCAGTCTGTTTTTCGGTTGGATTCTGGACCTCAGTCGGTTTTTCGGTTGGCTTCTGGACCTCAGTCGGTTTTTCGGTTGGCTTCTGAATCTCAGTCGGTTTTTCGGTTGGCTTCTGGACCTCAGTCGGTTTTTCGGTTGGCTTCTGGACCTCAGTCTGTTTTTCGGTTAGCTTCTGGACCTCTGGATGTGTCTTCTTATCAGCTTCAGCTGGCTCGACCTCAGCCTGAGTCAATTCTTCAATATTCATTTCAGCTTTTTCAGTCTGTTTAGCTTCAACAATCTCGTGGATATTTTCTTGAATCAGATTCTTATTCATTTCAGCTTCATCCAAATTTTTGATCTTCTCCTCCTTGATAGTTTGATTATCGGAACAAACTACTTCCGAGCAATTTTTCATTTGACGATCAATCTCTCCTTTGAAGATAACTAAAAAGCAGTTATTGTCTCTATCAAATCAGTTGTTCTACCTTTGATTTCCACCTTATTCAAGCATTCAGTTTGCTTCAACATTCTTGAAAATGGAATATTGATCGCGTTGAGCTCTTTCTCATAGAGAAGCCCATCATTGGCAAGCTCTGGCTCATGGTCACTCAAGGATTCCAAATCCTCATCATGATCTAGAATTTGCAATAATGCGAGAAATTGATTCACAATTTTTATACCTTCTTTTTTATCTTCTTCCACGACGTCAACTCCACACCAAATGTCCTCATTTGATGCAATATCGATTCCTTGGTAAATCGGCAAAAAGACCATTTCGTTATCAGCTGGAAGCACCTTGTTAATCGTTCAAACATGATCAATTTACCATCTTCCTCGAAATTCTCTACTGCTTCCTCGTCTTCATAACCATCGACATTCTCGACGTCGATGTAATCGAGTACAGCCTGACGTCGTTTTGCAATTTCCACATTTATGGCGAACGCGGCCTCTTCGCTATTGCCCATCAACGAATCCAACAAAACTCCAATCCGTGTTCGATTGATGTCTGAAAATTGAAATCTCAATTCTAATTCTGGGCTTTCAAATCAATACGTTTCAAATTCTTGGCACGCCTCCAAATATCTTCCATTGTGACATCATCATCAGCATCGTCCTCGTTGTTCGGCGTCTCCATCATCTCCATTAGAACTTTCAATGAGCACTTTCGAGACAATTCATCCAATTCCTTATTTTTCTCCAAAAGATGATAAATAATTGAATGGCATTTCGCTTTTGCAATCGCCTCGTTTTCTGTAAACTCAAAAAATTAGCAGAAGCTTTTCAATCAGATTCCATACCTTCGATATCTTCAATAATGTCGTTTATGACCGTTTCGGCACTTGTTATCAAATCAACGACTGTATCAAGAGTTTTTTGAGCTCCGCTTTTTTGTTCCATCGCGGACAACTCGTCTAAAGCAATGTCAAAGGACTTCATGGATTTTTCAGAAATTTTCAAATTTCGAACATCGTTCAACGAACATACTACGTCATCGCTCAGCGCTTGAGTGCGCTCAATTTCTTCTGAAAGTTTTTTGTGAAACATACGTAATTGATAAATGACTTACCATAAGAAATATTTATTAAATTGTTTAAAAAGAAAATGACGTTGCGATCAAATTCAGCTCGACATTCGGCTTCTTCTATAATTAAAAAAATGACACATTTGGTATATTCCGAATTCTTTGTACCTTTCCGCCTGGCCAGCTCCGCCAGTCTCTCAAGTTCAGCTTGTCTTGCGAGCTCCTCTTGTCTTGCGATCTCAGCTAGTCTCTTCTGTTCGGCTTGTCTTGCCAGCTCCTCTTGTCTTGCAATCTCAGCCAGTCTCTCAAGTTCAGCTTGTCTGGCCAGCTCTTCTTGTCTTGCGATCTCAGCCAGTCTCTTCTGTTCAGCTTGCCTGGCCAGCTCCTCTTGTCTTGCGATCTCAGCCAGTCTCTCAAGTTCAGCTTGTCTGGCCAGCTCTTCTTGTCTTGCGATCTCAGCTAGTCTCTTCTGTTCGGCTTGTCTTGCCAGCTCCTCTTGTCTTGCGATCTCAGCCAGTCTCTTCTGTTCAGCTTGCCGGGCCAGCTCCTCTTGTCTTGCGATCTCAGCCAGTCTCTTCAGTTCGGCTTGTCTGGCCAGCTCCTCTTGCCTGGCCAGCTCCGCCTGTCGGGCCAACTCTGCCTGTCTCTCAAGTTCAGCTTGTCTTGCCAGTTCTTCTTGTCTTGCGATCTCAGCTAGTCTCTTCTGTTCGGCTTGTCTTGCCAGCTCCTCTTGTCTTGCGATCTCAGCCAGTCTCTTCTGTTCGGCTTGTCTTGCCAGCTCCTCTTGTCTGGCCAGCTCCTGTTGCCTGACTATCTCAGCCTGTTTCTCGAGTTCAGCTTGTCTGGCCAGCTCCTCTTGTCTTGCGATCTCAGCTAGTCTCTCGAGTTTGGCTTGTCTCGCTAATTTTTCTTGCCTCACTAGTTCAGTCAATCTTTCCAATTCCGCCGGTCTCTCCAGCTCCACTTGTCTGGCCAACTTTTCCTGCTTGTCGATTTGATCCTGTGTCGCCTGTTCTGTCTCTCTATCCGATTCCGCATATCTCTCGAGTTCCGCCTGCCTGGCAATTTCCGTCTGTCGGGCCAACTCGCGCCTCGCGACCTCGACCCTCTTGATTGCATCCCTGGCGATATATTCTTCAAATTGGTTTCTCTCTAAGTGCAGATCCTCATACAAGATGCATTTCGTCGATTCTTCCATTATCTTTATAATGAAGTCGGTGACTGAAAATGTTTAAATGAATATTCGAATCAAACTGTCATCATTTCCTACTGGACACATTCATAAGACGTTCCATCAGGACTATTTCATTTGCTTGTGAAGCATCTGCCCGAAAAACTATTTTATTCGTTTCCTCAACGAAATTCTCAAAAATATTTCCGCCTAGAAGCCATCGTTCGGTGGCATTTTTTAATAGTTCATATCGTTGAACTTCATCTAAAAGAAACCCAATTATCGAATTTTGAATCGCTCATTCAATAACATACTCAAGAATTGATCATGAAAAAAAGACATGGTTATCTGAAACACAACCATATCGTCCTCTTCCATGTCTTTTATTGAAAACAATACATATCTCAAATTCTTGCGGAATACAGCACCCCGTTTTGTTAAATCGACAACTTTGATTATATGTCCAATCGTCTCGAAAAGCCGATAATTTCGAAGCCTTCTTTCCATGACTTCAGATTGCCTCTCGCTAATGTCTCTGTTACTTAATACCAACTCCAGAGTGTCTGTTTCCAGTTGGCCTGAATGATAATGTGATCAAGAAGCATGCCATATAACTAACCTGGCAGCATAATTGAATTCACCATTTTAATCGCTTCATCGCGTAGCTCTGAAAAAAAAATGATGGTTCAGAATGATTCGAGGTCTAGTGTGTGCCATTCTCACTTTGAAATAATGCGATCTTTTCGGCGCGCTTCTTAAGTTTTCCCGAAAACACCGTCGCATCGGGAATCTCGTTGGAGAAATGCAATTCTGCTCGCGGAGCCACCGGTTCTTCCACTTCCTCCGATGTCATGTTAACGCGAAGATAGCCATTATTCACCCACGAGTTGATATAGTTCGCATAGCGTTTTTGCTCTTGCGGTGGAATCGGCGATGGCTGATTGACTCGATTCGGATCCGCTGACACGGCAAACTCGAATGAGTTGCTTTGCGATGTTCCTGGACTCTCGTATTCATTCATCATCTTGATGTGTTGCGTCTACCTGAAAAAAACGCATTCGGTTGAATCCCTATTTCGCGCTTATGCATCTCGAATCGAAGAATATCTAGAAATAGCTGAAAAAAATGAGGGGTGTCGCCGCCCACGTCGGAATGTGCCGATTTCCAATTAAATTGCGTCGACATGAAGCGGCGTCACAATAGAATGGATGAGCGCGTGGGGGAAGGGATGAAGCAGAAGAATAAGGATAGGAAAAAAAACGCCTTGGTGGCGGAATAATTGATGGCCACCAATTACTACAAGCTCCATCCCACTCAATTTTAATGCTCGCCATCGGTCACACAAGAAGCAAGCCGGAATTGGATTTGATTTAAGTGCTCGACTTATGAAAGAGATTCTCGTAGAATTGTATTGTCGACGACGCGCGACTGCGGAAAATTGGCTAAATGCCAGAAAATTTAAGAAGATGTCTCGGTGAGCGGTGTGCGCCTTTAACCAATCCTTATACTTAGGCCCGTAAATCTACAATTTTATTTTCGGGCCAAGACCACTGTTGCTTTTTCTTGGCGAAGTTGCGCGTCGTCGACAATACATGGCAAAATGAAAGGAATTCCAAATTTTTGGCTTACCATCGTTTCAATAAGTGGCGACGCACGATTTATGGCATTTTTCACCTCTCATTCGTTTTTCCATTTTTCTTTTTTTTGGGCGAGAAAGCATTCGTCTTCTTATTGGGTGACATACAACCCACCCCCCCCATGAGGATTGATGAACAATTTGATTGGTGGTTTTAATTAAACCAAATCGGCCTCTTCATTTTTTTTCAAGCCTCTTTGTTTGAATCAAACTTTTTTGGATTCATTAATTCGTCTGACAATGTGGGAGGCAAATTGCACATCAAAAAACGACCGATCGTTGAGATTTTAATTATGGGTTCTAGTCATTGATAATTCATCCTTTTATTTAGAATATTCTAGCAGGGCTAAAAATTGAGCTGAAATTTTTAAGCAAAAAATCTTGAACTTCATAAAGCCTCAAAAAAATAGACGAATTCTGAATTTCTGAATGCGATAAATTTTATCCGATCTGTCAAGGATAATATTCAAAACTCAATCAAATTTTCTGTGAATTTGAGAGACGGAGACAGAATCTCTTGCAATTTTCTGGAGTTTCCAATTGCTGAGAAATATAGTATAAGTATATGAGCAATTTAAAATATTACCAAAAAAAACGAAAGCCTTGGCGAAGCACCGAATATTTTCTGGGTGGAAATTCAAATTTCGATGTAAACAGTGTAAATCTGCTAAATTTTTTAAAACTGAATTTGAAAAATTAAATTGAAATCTTAAATTGAAAAACTATATAAAATGAGCAGGTTTATAATAATTATTTTGAAAAAAAAACCTAATTCGATTTTCCTTGTTAATTTTTGTTTTACCGTCACTTGAGGAAAATTTAATGAAAATAATCGAAATTTTCCATAAATTTGTTCAAAAAAGGAAATGTGTTTCATATAATTTTCCTGAAAATTTCCAGTCATCTAGTAAAAACAGATTCATTCTTCTTATTCATTTATGTGAAAAACGGGCCATAGGTGCTATTACCGATTTTTTAGCTTGCCTTTTTGGATCAAAAAATTCAATTGATAGAAAACAATGTAAAACGCGTTTAAAATTCGTTAAAATCTAAACAATTTAAAATTAGAAAATAGCGACTTGAAAGAAAAAGTGAAATAAAATGCATTGAAATACGGAATTTCGTTTTGAATTTTAACAATGAGGCGAAGGCGAATTCAGGAAAATTAGCTAAGACGATCGTAGTTAAAATTCAGTGCAATAGACTTCAAACGGAGTTTAAAGTTATAGAAAAATGCGAACACTTCGGCTAATTTTTTCCGAGAATGCGCGTGAAAAAAAAATTAATTACCAATTAGAAATTGTTGAAAATTTTAGATTCAAAAAAATATTTTCAGGCCTCTAAAAGGAAGTTATCGTATTTATGAATATCTCCTTTTGTATAATACTATTTATTTCAATTCTGGAACTTGAATAACCTAAGGAATTTTTAAAACTATATCGTATCGTAATTCGAAAATTTAGTTTAATTATTCTGGGACCCTGTGATAATACTTCAAATCGTTTTCAACGGCTAGATTTTGTGGTGAAACCAAAATGTCGAAGATATGGACGAATTGCCTTCGCATTTTTAATAACTCCCAGTTTTCCAAAATTCCGCAACTTTTCAAATTATTTACAGAAATATCATCAATTACTTCCAGTTTGCCCAAAATAGTCAATATTTGAATTTTGAGTTTTTTTTTTGGCAATTGTTTTAGTTTTTGGACATCTGTTTTATTACAATCACTTGGAGCCCAAAAAATGCAGATGGTCAACTTGTTGCCAGAAACAAAAGCGGCTTTTGAAATCGAGTCGACTCGAGACCCAGATGTTCCTTTAGTTGCAATTTGAATCTTCGTAGTGTGATTGTGTGTTAAACAAAACTCGCATTGTTTTCAAATTTCTATTGACTAGAACAATAGAGAGAAAAAGTCCTAGCGAAATTTAAAGGAGCACACCCTAAATGAGCTGGGTCTCACAGATGAGAAATATTCTAAAGTCCTACCAAAGGAATACGAAATAGGATATTTCTTGTTTGAATAAAAAAAATGAAAATGAGATGAGATCTCAATTTTTTCGACATTTATACATTTCCACGAGTTATTATTAGAATCACTACAAATGTGTGGAAATTGTCATCGGAAGCATCGATGTGAATAATGACTCACCTCAAATCACACGCATCGATGAGATAGCGACGAGCAAGTATCAATGAGCGAACGATGAAGCCAAAACCGAATATAACAGCGGGCTAACAACAAGTAATATGCGTCGGGCGCGACTCGGCAAAAAGACCTCCCGAAACTAAGCGCCGCCCATCGACGACAATTGGCCGACGTGCGCGTGTGACCGCCCACTCGCGGCTTGTGGCCCCCGTCCAACGAAATAGTCGGCGATGTGCGGAGAGCAAGCGAGACGGTTTGCCCGCTCACAAAAGCTTCGCGCGTGTTTCTCTGTGGGTGCCGATGTGCGCTCGGTGCCGCATCGCGCCGATCACACCGACCGACCGACCGAGAGGGGGGCCACCCGCCTTGATCGTTTCGTAATGCAACACGACGACAAATGTGGCGCGAATGGCACACATTTTTAATCGTGGTGGTCCTTTTATAGAAATCGATGCTATTAGAAATTGAGTAGATGAATAGGAATAACATTAGTTTAGTGAATTCGGTATAAAGGACTGGTCAAATCACGAAGGCGTCTTCACACTAACAATTATTAGAAATTGATTCCTGCTTCTCGAAAATCGGAGAGAATTGCTCTTAAATTACAAAATCCCCGAAAATTCTCATATTTTCAAACTAATGCGCATTTCTATTGGAATTTTGAAACTTTTTTGTGCATGGAGAACGCTGAAGTGTGAGCTCGAGCAATGGGGGAATCAAATAATAGCATTGTAGTAGAAGTTGCGAGGCTTTTGCTCAAACCATGTGCTGAAAGAAGAACTCACAGTGTGTGTGTGTGTGTTGCAGCAGATACTGCTTCTTGACGGGCTTCCGATGAATTGCAGTATGATCGGAGGAACGTCGGGGAACGAGGCGACGCCTCTAAAAAATAGAATGTGAACCAGCGAACCAGGAGCGATCAGACGTTTTTTTCGACGAAACAAAACAGGAAAAAAAGAAAGAAAATGCAAACTCGGCGTTTTTTTTCTCTCTTCATTTTTCTTTCGCTCCTCACACAAAAATTTGACATGCCCCGTATTTGGTTATATGGTGGGAAACTATTGAATATACAATCGATTGGAAGAACGAAATGGAAATTGTGGGAATATTGTAGACATTTTAATTGTGTATCATAATTATGCGAATATTCGAAAGAATAACTTTCGAGCAAAGTTTTAAATTCGAGTTCTAAATGGATGTCAAATAATTCCAAAGAATTGTCCGCAGATGTAAATTCATAAAATTGCCAACAAATTACTGTAATAATTATATTAGACACGAAAATCCCGAAATTGAAAATAATTTGTGGGGGGTTTCTATTTTGATTTTTTTTCGTAAATGATAATTAAAGGCGCACACAGTTGTTGTGCTAAAATCTCGCAAATCTGAGAGCTTATTTTCTCAGAAAAATTCGAGAAAATTGTCCGCAGACGAAATATTCGAAAGATGATTCAAAAAATTTCGAAAACGCAAGAAATAATTCAAAAAAAATCTAGTCGAAAGGATTTTGAAAATGAATCTATCTGCGTTCAAGAAACTCCAATTTTAAAGGAGCATCACCTACAAGTCGGCTCAACTAGCAATCTTGGCACAGTCCCTTTTATGGTTTGAATTGCTCTCACATAAAAATCCGCAACCAACGCAGGATGTTGTTCTTTCAAAAATGACGCAATCGTTTTCAAAATCGTTTGTAAATTGTACTTTTGAAAACGGCCGCCGATTACTCATCATATGCATTCGCGATGGCGCTCGCAAACTATCTGAGAACAAAGTTGGCGGCCGGCAAACAACACAAAGGGCATTCGACCGTAGTCCTCGGTTGGTCGCCGATTCAAAACTCCCATCGAATCTTGGCAATTATTAATAAAATGTGCAAAACCATCACCCATAATTATCGCGTGCTTTGTTTTTATTTGAAAATGGCGTGTTTTTTATGTGATGAGCCAAAAAAAAAGAAAGTGCCGTGTTAAAGTAATGGGCCACATTTCGCGTGTTCGGGTGTGATACTCATTTTTTTTTGGGGCCGACCATGCGAGAGCACAATAAGTTTGACATCAAACTTTTATAGGGAGGGGGACTCTGAGAATACAATAAATTGTAGTGATGAAGGTACTATTGTGCGCACAACTTTTTGGACAAGGAACACGGATTATTGTTGTTGTTGTTGTGAGCGAGAATATCGTTGTGAGACCTTGTGAAGGGAGGAGGGGGCTCGATTCGATATCCTTTGAATAATTACTGA